GAACAATATTTGTTGACGCAAAATTTGAAAAGAAAAATCAATGAAGATAACACAGATGATACAACCAATACCAATGAAATGATCCAAAATAACCAACAAGAAAAAATAATCATTGAAAAGAAAACATCAAACAAACGTATGAAAAAACAACAAGAGTGCATTCCTTTTTTCATGTTGAGTGAAATATTTTTGCGCATTGTATATCCCTTATCCGTATGCACCAACAAAAATGTTACGGTTGGATTTTGTAAATTTCTGGATTATTCACCAGGTGTTTTACTCAATCATGGAGGAAAACAAATAACATTTTTTGAAGATTCATGAAACTCTTTTAACAAATCCATACACCTAATTCATTGCTACCTCATTAACAAAGTATATGGGAAGAAAACTAATATAACTGTGGAAAGTTCTGATATTGAAGTTGGTAATATTAAAGTTCGTGGTGATTTATTTGTACGAGTTAGAAACCTTTCATCCCACGATGATAAGGTGCTTTTTAACAGAGATGAATTGGAAATATTGATTAATTCTATACCTGCTATTGAAAGATACATGCACCAACTAGAGTCATCTAAAACAACAATTAAAGATTATTTGGTGAATACGATTGAAGATGGACAGGACACTCCTTTGATCTATAGCCCGTTAGATAATTCAATATACAACAGATTGCCACAAGAGGTTTATCTGTTCCGTAACTTGATATGTACACTCCCTCAAAACACAATAAATGACTTGAGTGTAATGGAAGAAGAATCAGTTAAGATAAAAAGTGAAGAAATGATTATGAAGTAGTTAATGAAACAGAGAAGCTTTTACACAATGTATTTAACAAGTGGTGGGGGAAACACATATAATTGAAGTTAACTGTGCAAAATTGCAGTTGCATACGGATATTCATGATGGATGCACAAAAGTACCGATGGAAAGAATTTTCTTGTTTATCTGAACACAACTCTTGTGTAATTGAGTTTCAAGCATTCAGAGGAAACAATGATGAATACATAGTGAAAGAATTAGTTATTTTAGATCTAAAATCTGGCGTAACAAACTACTTTCTTTTTAAAGCACCGTTTCCATTTCATAATCATAATCATTTCATAAAAGAATTCAAGAACCAACAAGTGGCTTTCGAAATTCTTCCATCATTTATCATGGCATGAAGGATTTGTGGAATACAGCGAACTTGAAAACATACTGATAAAATATTGTAGCAAGTACAAGTTTATTTTTACATCAGGTTTAGAAAAGTGTGAATTTTTATCATTGTATGTTCCTTCAAGAGCAACAGTTTATAACATTATGAGAAAAAAAGAGCAAAATTTTCCTGGAATATGCATTGGTGTTAGATGCAACAAACATAGATTTTCTAACTGTGCCATATCTAATGCTTATGGTTTAAAAGCAACACTAGAAAGTGAAATAAAGTGAGCCTTAGTGGAGGGGATAGAGTGGTGGGGGTATAGGCATAAATAGAGTTTTGGAGCCAGGAGCTCAACAGTATTATCTCAACATCCCTAATATCATCATTCAACACAAATAATGGCTGACTCAAAACTGCAGACCTTGGTGGATTTATTTAATCAACAATCAAAATCAAGCATACTACCGATTAAAAAATGCTTTGAGCTGAAGGAAAAGAAACAGTACATAATTCACTTTATGAAAAAAGTGGATACATCTGTTGGTGATGGAATCGTTGCAGCATTAAGTGAAGCGCCTTACAAGGGAGGAGACATGCCTCGATTTCAAATTTATCTTCCAAAGCGATTTGTTACATTGCTTCAAAATGAAGATGTGGAGTCGATTGAAGCTGGAAAACTATGTCTTGTCTCTCACGGTCAAACAGGAAATAACTCGACAGAATTAACACTTCAACTACTCTAGTCCTGTAAATTTGTAAATAATTAATTGTAAATTTGAAACATCTATTATTGTTAGACATTGTATTCTTAGAAAATGGTATGTGTGACAATTGTAATAAGAAAAAATAAATAAATAAAAAAAATAAAAAAAATAATAAAAAATAAACATATTGACCTAATTCGTTAGGTCAATATGTTTATTTTTTAAAAATTACTCTGAATGACCTTGACCTAATTTCAAGAAAGTATTTATTACTGTTACACACGTGTTGAGGATTCAGTACAAAAATGAGTGTAGACAAGTTCGGACGTCATGAAGACTATGTTCTTCGGAAAGAAAATATCAATCAATCCCAAGAGAGCTTAATCTTAACTCCTAGTGGTAATTACTACATGAAGAATCGGATATTGCAAAATGTTGGAGAACCAACATTAGATAATGATGCTATAAATCTAAGTTATTTAAAAAACCATTGTTTGATGAAGAATAAGAGTCCAAACGAACTTTTCAATCCTGGGAGCTTCGATGCTTCTAATAATCAAATACGAAATTTAGGTGATGGTGTAAACGACACTGATGCCGTAAATGTCCGAACTCTAAAACGGGAAGTAAACAAATTAATGAGGGAACAGCAGCAACAATATGAAAGATTAAGTATGCTACTTTTCCAGCATGTGCATAGTCACACCACTACCAACTCAAAATAAGAATATATTACAAAAAAAAATAAAATAAAAATGCCATGACTAAGATTTGGATGGATAAATTAACGATGTTCCTAAAGCTTAAGACAAACTTTTCCAATTTAAAAACTGCTGAGTCATGCAATTTAAAATCTGCAGAATTTTAAAAACTGCTGAGTCATGGACCCAGGGGTGACCAAAGCCCCCTACTGTGACTGTGTGTCATACTTCCACATATATTTTCAATTCTCGTGGATAGCTAAAAAATATTATGAAATATGTTCACTACATGACGTAGATAATATTTCGGCGTTTCTGTTTATTCCTTTATATTTTTTTTTCATTTAACCTGATTAAACATATTTTAATTGAACTAAATTAATTTTGATTAAATTTCCTCTCCTGTAGGGATGTTGCGAAACAAGGATAAGTTTGCAATTGGTATCGGAATTACCTATTTACATTTAGTTAGAATAAAAACACATGTTATAGAAAAAATAACATTTATTTTTCAGTATTTACAAACATAGAAAAGTACATTTACATAGTTGAACACAGACATTTATTTATAAGGATAGAGGGAGAGGTTCTGTAAGTTTAGGAGCCTATTGTGTCACATGTGTGATGTAACATATAAAGAAGAGGGGTTTACGATACGGGAATGTTTCATTTGAGCCTTCCACTCGCTTTTTCAAGATCAAGTACGATTCTAGATTAGTTTTTAATGAGTATTTTGTGCTGTTGACAAATGTGAATTCTTAATTCACTTTAAAGCCTATATTTCTGAACCTAGTTGATTAAGTGTCATCTGGGCCGTTAAGTACAGATAAATGTGTAGTAATATCTATAAGTCTAGGCGTATAGGCCTATAATAGCGGATTTGGGTTTGTATATTTTTATATAAATGTTCATTTGGCAGTGATAGAGACTCAAACACCACTGGAGCGATGGCCTCAAAACTTGATACATACTGTACATACAAAATTTAATGGAGTAGGTTTATTCACCATCAGTTTCGTGATAACTTTCAGGGCTTAGCACTGGGGCAGTCTTAAAGGTACCCAAAACCCCGTCAGGGATTTTGAAAAAAAATTTAGTTAGATTTGCTTACTAACGAAACATATGAAAGTAAACTTTAAATAAAGTAAGTGATGTAAATTAATGAAAATTTACCATTAAAGTATGCTATTTAATAAGATTTAAATTAATCCAAACCAAAATGGTGACTTTCTTTACTTATCTGATTTAAAAGCCATAAACTTTTATCAAACAAAATGGTTCGGTTGAATTTTGTTGGTTCGGTTGAATTTTGTTTTCAACAATTGCCAAAGTGTTGGTGGATGTGTGCCTTAACGATGGAAAGATCAAAAAGTTTACTATTTCGCGTCCTCTTCTAGTTGCCAAGCGCGGGTACAACAGCTAGTAGGTTTATAAAAGGGATTACAAACCCATTATAATATAACAGATACAGTATTCACTTTGGTTCCTTAAGATAGGTTGTACCTAGTGAGCATTAACTATCTGTTTTAATTATTTAAAAAATGCTAAATACAACACGAAGTTCCTATTGTAGAAATGTTGTGTGTTTGTTTGTTTGTTTGAAGTTCAATCACGCATTACATACATATTTTTATAAAATTTGCATTTATCAGTTACTAAACTATAAACATTTTACAAAAAAAAAAAAAAACACTATTATCCTCCCTGTTGCAGCAAACCTAAATACTCGTTAAACTAATTGCTGTTTAGATAGAGAATAGATGTGATATTTTAAAAGAGTTATTTGATTGTAAATCCAAAAAGGCAAATGGAAATTCGCTAAGTCTGCAGGTTTGCTGCGGCGGTGTATTTTGAATGTTTGATAATTTTTGTCTATTGTTTAGGTGCAGTGGTAGAACATTATGGCTATGGAATATGTGTTAAACTATAGTATACCATAAATTTTAAAGAACCAAATTTCATCAAACTGTGTCCTCCCCAATGCAAACGCAAAGCTTAAGTACAACTGCAATAAGCATTTTATGCTTAAATGCCAACCTCGCACGAAGAACGGGTACTCTGCTAGGAATTATTATTTAAAAACTAGGCTTTCAAATGTACGGATGAAAATATATGGACATTAGAACGTCTAGCTGGATTTGGAAAAACCATATAATTCGTAGTTTTTTTTATATTTATTTACCTCCATTCAGGTACCCCCCCTCAAGCTCATGGCTTGCTAGAATGACATCTGCTTCTTTTATGCAATCCAGCAATGGGATTCACTCAAGGATAAAGCCTAGAGAGTACACTTAGGTAGAAAAATCCGACTGATGATGGACCTTCGGGCCAAAAATTAATTTCGGATCAAAAAACAGGATTGCTAAGGTAAGGCCTTATAATATCAATTAATATATAAGCAATCCAGAGGCTAAAATGATTGATAGAAAAATCTAAAGAGACCCGGGAAAGGCCAATGATAACCAGGTAAGGGATGTACTTCTTGGTAGTATTCTTACTATTATCCCTGAAGATGGACAGCTGTGTTCTAGACTGTGCTCTCTGGAGAGGATAGCCCGGGGAAACCCCAACTAGCTGACCGTGTGGGACTGTCCAGTGAGGTGACAGAAGTCAGTGGTAAATAGAGGTAAGAGCTAGAATTTTAGAGTGTTTTCTCGCTGTGCTCTGTAGAGTATATGGCAATACGACATTCCGGGACCGGGGAGAGAGTCTTGCCGTGTAGGACAGCCTAGGAAGTAAATGGTAGTCAGTGGTGGCTAGAGGAGCTAGACTTGATTAGTGTGTTCTCGCTGTGCTCTCTAGAGAGGATGGCCAGGGGACATTCCGTCACCATGTCCAGAGAGCTTGATCGTACGGGACAGTCAAGTGGGGTAGCAATATTCAGTGGTGACTAGAGGTAAGAGCTAGACTTGTTTAGTGTGTTATCGCTGTGTTCTCCAGAGAGGATGGCCAGGGGACATTCCGGCACCATGTCAAGAGAGCTTGATCGTACGGGACAGTCAAGTGGGGTAGCAATATTCAGTGGTGACTAGAGGTAAGAGCTAGACTTGTTTAGTGTGTTATCGCTGTGTTCTCCAGAGAGGATGGCCAGGGGACATTCCGGCACCATGTCAAGAGAGCTTGATCGTACGGGACAGTCAAGTGGGGTAGCAATATTCAGTGGTGACTAGAGGTAAGAGCTAGACTTGTTTAGTGTGTTATCGCTGTGTTCTCTAGAGAGGATGGCCAGGGGACATTCCGGCACCATGTCAAGAGAGCTTGATCGTACGGGACAGTCAAGTGGGGTAGCAATATTCAGTGGTGACTAGAGGTAAGAGCTAGACTTGTTTAGTGTGTTATCGCTGTGTTCTCCAGAGAGGATGGCCAGGGGACATTCCGGCACCATGTCAAGAGAGCTTGATCGTACGGGACAGTCAAGTGGGGTAGCAATATTCAGTGGTGACTAGAGGTAAGAGCTAGACTTGTTTAGTGTGTTATCGCTGTATTCTCTAGAGAGGATGGCCAGGGGACATTCCGGCACCATGTCAAGAGAGCTTGATCGTACGGGACAGTCAAGTGGGGTAGCAATATTCAGTGGTGACTAGAGGTAAGAGCTAGACTTGTTTAGTGTGTTATCGCTGTATTCTCTAGAGAGGATGGCCAGGGGACATTCCGGCACCATGTCAAGAGAGCTTGATCGTACGGGACAGTCAAGTGGGGTAGCAATATTCAGTGGTGACTAGAGGTAAGAGCTAGACTTGTTTAGTGTGTTATCGCCGTGTTCTCCAGAGAGGATGGCCAGGGGACATTCCGGCACCATGTCCAAAGAGCTTGATCGTATGGGACAGTCCAGTGGGGTAGCAATATTCAGTGGTGACTAGAGGTAAGAGCTAGACTTGTTTAGTGTGTTCTCGCTGTGTTCTCTAGAGAGGATGGCTAGGGGACATTCCGGCACCATGTCTAGAGAGCCTGGCCTTGTAGGACAGTCTAGGGAGGTAACGGTTGTCAGTAGTGACCCTCGATGGTTGGTGCTCTCAGGTGTGACTCCTCGTCGTTGGGTGTTCTGTGGTATTCCTCCACGTTCGATTACTCCAGTCCCCTAAACAGATACTTAGATTTACGATTTTTTACAGCTTTTTTTATTGATAACATAATATTAATAAGCGGTATCAGCAATCTGCCACATTCTTTCTAACATTTGCTTGTCAAAAGTTTTTATAGTGAGGTAAGCGATAGGAGTTTCTATTATCACTTTGGGTAAGGTGAAATATAAAATAACTTATGAACCGTAATATATACAGTATTGGGGGTTGCAGTATTTTATGCAAAGTTAATAGGCTATAACATACTATTTTCCCATGTACAAATACTATAAAAATACAAAAAACTATAATAAGATACATCCTTGTTGTTTTCTCTTGAACAAACGTCATTTGGTGATCGGTCAATTCGTTATAGTATTAAGGGATTAATTCTTCAGAAAATTATGGATAAAGCTATTTAATTTTCACATAATTTATATTTTTCCGGCCTCTAGATGAAACATCCAAGATGAAGGATGTTCAACGACTTTATTTCAATCACTTACACTAACTTATTTTGTATACATCATTAAATTTCTACAACCACACTCCGTAAATACGTAGAACCAGTTATATTTTCATCTTTATACAAAACTATAGTCCTAAACAATGACAAAACCTACACATAACCAATCATAGCTATAACAACATCTAGTATTCCTTGTGCTAGTCAACTTTTATTCAAGTTTGTCATCATGGCCTATTTATAGATCTTGTTCGACCTATAAAAACTTGCTTACAGAAGGACCGGAACACAAATACAGTGTGCAGTGTGCCTTGGCTCGGGGCCACTGCGTCTCGTGTGCCAGCTCTCCGTCCATCTCACTATACGACTGTCACTACGGCGCTTTAACTCAACTTCTACCGTATCTAAACTGGCGACTTTGTAGCCTGAGTTTGATTTTTCTATGTCTTCCTATTTATTTCCTGTTTTAGCAAATTTCTCCTATATCGAGTTCGCTTCATTTTAATTGCGTTCCTAAAAATTTAAACTATTACTCAATTAACTATCAATATATCAATAAACATTAATGCATTATGCTTGTTAATTTGACTGATGGTTGAGGTAGTAAATAAAATACCGTATTGTTGGCCAACTTTAATGTTTTAATAACAAAATAATTAAAAGAACAGAAAAATTTAGGTGACAGCTTCGACAGTTAATACATTTTAGTATCCAATAGTTAATGGTGATAATCATTTTATAAGTATATTTCATAGTTGTAGTTTGGACATCACATGGTAGTTGTTGTATTAGGAATGTAGTCGATTTGTACGTGTGTATTACCATCATTGCTGTTGTAAATTGGAACGCCCTGAAGAAGCATAAAATACGTAAACAATGTGTACTTCAGTATTTGTTTCTTAAAATAACCTCAAAAGCTTACAGCAGTATTGCAAGTTTTAACATTATGTTATTGGCTTATATTAATTCGTTAAACAACTAATGTCTAACAATAAACTGTTTTAGAATTCATCCACAACATGGATAGTTATTTTGAATAATCCTAACAAAACAATGCTAGGTATTAGCTGTATTAGATAACTTTATGCAAAACGTATACATATAAAAAGTTGCATCAATTATGTTTTTCGTATTTAAAATCCTCCGTTCGTGTTATACTTGAATGAATGTTGGGTGGTTTCCTGAAACAGATATGTCTAACCAGATCACACAGTCAACCTGGTCAGAATTACGCAAATTTCATTGGTTGTATCTGTTTCTATAAACTAATCCGGCTCACGTGACTAACAAAATTTCATCCCTGACCTCTGTCAGATTCACCATGTCCAAGCTGCAAGTGTTTGTATCTTACTTTAAAATAGTTGCAGCATTAGATTACAACTACACGATGCCAACACATCAGGGTGCGAACTTAGTGGCGAAAATGAGTGAAGCGCTGTCTATGGCCAGCTAATTTTAGCCATTTACAATTACTAAAAGCCTAATAATCAATGACTTATTAATCGGATCGAACTGGCGATCATCTGACTACTAAACGAGAACTATATACTTCCCAACTACCCCAATTATTACAGTTAGTTATTATTTGAAAATAACATTGGCAATGCTACAGCTATGATACTAGCACATTGCTTTAGTGCACCAACTCCAAAAACTCGCATTCTATTTGCATTCATTCTCAACAAAAGCATGTATGTATCAAAATAGCTAAGTCATTATATAAAATTGAGCTGATAGAAAAACACAGCACATAATAGCCTACCTTGTACCTGGCTGTGGTGCGGGCGCACAGGCCGTGTCTGCTGAGTAGCACAAACAGATCCCTGCGGTACTGCTGGGTGAGCAGAGCGTACAGGTAGGGGTTGGCACATGAATTGAGCAGATAGAAGAACACAGCACGTAACCTACCTTGTACCTGGCTGTGGTGCGGGCGCACAGGCCGTGTCTGCTGAGTAGCACAAACAGATCCCTGCGGTACTGCTGGGTGAGCAGAGCGTACAGGTAGGGGTTGGCACACGAATTGAGCAGATAGAAGAACACACAGGTAACCTACCTTGTACCTGGCTGTGGTGCGGGCGCACAGGCCGTGTCTGCTGAGTAGCACAAACAGATCCCTGCGGTACTGCTGGGTGAGCAGAGCGTACAGGTAGGGGTTGGCACACGAATTGAGCAGATAGAAGAACACAACACGTAACCTACCTTGTACCTGGCTGCGGTGCGGGCACACAGGCCGTGTCTGCTGAGTAGCACAAACAGATCCCTGCGGTACTGCTGGGCGAGCAGAGCGTACAGGTAGGGGTTGGCACATGAATTGAGCAGATAGAAGAACACAGCACGTAACCTACCTTGTACCTGGCTGTGGTGCGAGCGCACAGGCCGTGTCTGCTGAGTAGCACAAACAGATCCCTGCGGTACTGCTGGGTGGGCAGAGCGTACAGGTAGGGGTTGGCACATGAATTGAGCAGATAGAAGAACACAGCACGTAACCTACCTTGTACCTGGCTGTGGTGCGAGCGCACAGGCCGTGTCTGCTGAGTAGCACAAACAGATCCCTGCGGTACTGCTGGGCGAGCAGAGCGTACAGGTAGGGGTTGGCACATGAATTGAGCAGATAGAAGAACACACAGGTAACCTACCTTGTACCTGGCTGTGGTGCGGGCGCACAGGCCGTGTCTGCTGAGTAGCACAAACAGATCCCTGCGGTACTGCTGGGCGAGCAGAGCGTACAGGTAGGGGTTGGCACATGAATTGAGCAGATAGAAGAACACAGCACGTAACCTACCTTGTACCTGGCTGTGGTGCGAGCGCACAGGCCGTGTCTGCTGAGTAGCACAAACAGATCCCTGCGGTACTGCTGGGTGGGCAGAGCGTACAGGTAGGGGTTGGCACATGAATTGAGCAGATAGAAGAACACAGCACGTAACCTACCTTGTACCTGGCTGTGGTGCGAGCGCACAGGCCGTGTCTGCTGAGTAGCACAAACAGATCCCTGCGGTACTGCTGGGTGAGCAGAGCGTACAGGTAGGGGTTGGCACATGAATTGAGCAGATAGAAGAACACAGCACGTAACCTACCTTGTACCTGGCTGTGGTGCGGGCGCACAGGCCGTGTCTGCTGAGTAGCACAAACAGATCCCTGCGGTACTGCTGGGCGAGCAGAGCGTACAGGTAGGGGTTGGCACATGAATTGAGCAGATAGAAGAACACAACACGTAACCTACCTTGTACCTGGCTGTGGTGCGGGCGCACAGGCCGTGTCTGCTGAGTAGCACAAACAGATCCCTGCGGTACTGCTGGGCGAGCAGAGCGTACAGGTAGGGGTTGGCACATGAATTGAGCAGATAGAAGAACACAGCACGTAACCTACCTTGTACCTGGCTGTGGTGCGGGCGCACAGGCCGTGTCTGCTGAGTAGCACAAACAGATTACTGCTGGGTGAGCAGAGCGTACAGGTAGGGGTTGGCACATGAATTGAGCAGATAGAAGAACACAGCACGTAACCTAACTTGTACCTGGCTGTGGTGCGGGCGCACAGGCCGTGTCTGCTGAGTAGCACAAACAGATCCCTGCGGTACTGCTGGGTGAGCAGAGCGTACAGGTAGGGGTTGGCACATGAATTGAGCAGATAGAAGAACACAGCACGTAACCTACGTTGTACCTGGCTGTGGTGCGGGCGCACAGGCCGTGTCTGCTGAGTAGTACAAACAGATCCCTGCGGTACTGCTGGGTGAGCAGAGCGTACAGGTAGGGGTTGGCACACGAATTGAGCAGATAGAAGAACACAACACGTAACCTACCTTGTACCTGGCTGCGGTGCGGGCACACAGGCCGTGTCTGCTGAGTAGCACAAACAGATCCCTGCGGTACTGCTGGGTGAGCAGAGCGTACAGGTAGGGGTCGGCACACGAATTGAGCAGATAGAAGAACACAACACGTAACCTACCTTGTACCTGGCTGCGGTGCGGGCGCACAGGCCGTGTCTGCTGAGTAGCACAAACAGATCCCTGCGGTACTGCTGGGTGAGCAGAGCGTACAGGTAGGGGTTGGCACATGAATTGAGCGGATAGAAGAACACCAGTAGAATTTTGGTCTTAGACACATCGATCAGAGGATATCCCGCGAGTGCTGAGGAAGAATAATATTTGTTATGTTTGACAAAGCCAATACAAGTTTTGATTATCTAGTTGTTAACTCCTTGGCTGTAATGCTTCATTTTAAGTACTGTATAGATTGTTCAGGGTATTATTTTCTTCAATTAAATAAATTTTCATCTAAATAAATGAATAAAAAATATCCAGCTTGTCTGTTTTTGGCTATTTTTTGTTTCGTTTCGGAAAGCCGAAAGATTCTTATACCAATTTGTCTATCATTGTCTCTTTGACGCATGAGTAGAGATCAAGAGTTAAATCTTTTTTCCATTGAATTGGTGAGGATGTCTTTTACTATGAAACATGGCCAAACTACCCTTGACACATCTTCTCCTATGTTTACTACATACGTACCTATCAAAAATACCAATCATCTGTTTAGAGAATACGTCACCTATGAAATAACTAACTTATTTATAATACTAGCGCTTTTATAAAACTAGTTTTCATCACTATGAGTGAAAGTGGTCCTTTTTGGTACGCAAGCCCGTTTTACAACCAAGGCGCAGCCGAGCCCTTAATACGATTAATAAATAACTTCTTGATCAGCATTGAACGTGTTATTAAATTTATCGATTTCACCTATTGGGTCTGATGATGATTGGAGTGTCCAATCGAAATCGATCACCACTTTACCATCTTTTGTATATTTACCGTCTTGTGAGTAACAGTATAAGCGTAAATATATGTTTTAAGTGTTATAAGACGTATCTTTATTTACTTTCCATACGATTAATACTAAAAAGACACTTTCACTCCGTGTGATGAACAACAAACTGTTGAAATAACCTTTTAATGGTAAAAAAGTTAGACCACATAATTTGAGGTTATACCAAAGTCATCATTAATGTTTACGTTTCTGTTCTTTGTGACTTAAATGGCGGATGTAAATAATCACAAGTAGAATAGTTTGTAACTGTAAAAATGAAATAAAATTCGCCATCCATTTTATTTTATAACTTCAACTAATATAAGTTACAATAAGGTAGAATGAGTTACGATTTTCACATTTTTTTATTTTATACAAATAATTCAGTGAAATTCTCTGGATAACTTAGCTACCTTAAAATTTATGGTTATACCGTTTCTTGTAGTTTCAAACCTCGACAGTGCATTGCATTGTGTACCTGGACCTGTATACATTTCTAATCGCTATTTAATACATTTTTACTGAATTACAACTGCAGCAATCGTTGCGCCCATCTGTGCCACAAAGCCGTTGTCTTTTATGGAACCAATATTTTCTCAATACCAATTTCCCATCTCCCTGATATTTCCTGTCTTGTTCCCTCCACTCAGATTAATATCTGTGATCACTGGGGCCTATTAATTGCTTTTCTTAGAATGCTGTTCTTCTTTAATATTATATTTCGTTACCTTTTTATGTTGCAGATCAATAATAATGTTAATTGAGATGTTGATATAACTTCAATTTACAAAATATTATTAGTACCTTTCCACTTAGCATGGCTGCAATAATTTTTCTTAAGGGATTTATGGGCTTTCGGTATTTACAGACTCTGTTGAAACATGGCAAGGAATCTTTCTTTGGCTTTTCAGTCCTTAAACCATAGGCATTTTTCATTATAAGAATCCTTAACTATTTTGATGGTCAATACCTATTTGAAATTCTTTAAAAATGTTTGGCAATGTACTTAGATCGCACTTTCACACCGTAGACTGTAGGATCTGTAGAACCATTAGCCTTAAAAAATATACAAAATCAACCAAAAACACCTTCTTTGAACCTCATTCAGGGGTTGGAAGTTTCGTTTTAATATTATAGATGTGTGAATTCGTAACATGCATCCCAAAGTTTCTAAATGCAATTACAGTAAGCCAACATACCAGTGATGCCAAAGAAGGCTATGGGCGCCCAACAAGCAAAGTCGGTGAAGACCAGGAGAGCCATGCGCTTGGCCACCGTCATGTCGGAGCGAGTCACTGAGGCCGCTGCGTCCTGACCGCCCCTGATGGAGCAGTACATGCGACCGTAACACGCGCAAATCACCGCAAACGCGAGTCCGTTGAACAGCAACAGAATGATCAGGTACGATAGATCCAGGGCCTTCAGGTTCTCCAGCGGCAAGCATATGCTGAAATGCATCAGACGTCGGGATTAGATATAATAAATTTGATAGATAATCACTTTGTAATGGATCAGAAACTTCGAGAAGAGAAGTATCCTGTCAGAGAACGGGAAAATAAAAACTATTGTACAAAAAAAGTATTTTGCGTAAACAGTTACTTAGTAAACAGTACGTAGGAGTGAGGCATTGGAAGAAACAAGCTATGTAAGTAAAATATATAATATTTTTGCATAATTACTCCATAATATATTTCGTGCCTAGCTCCAGATCATTTTTAAGTTCGAGACGAAGTCGAGAACTTAAAACGATTGAGAGCTGTAAAACCATATCGGCTCGTGGAACGAACACAATTTTTCATCACACTATAGAAAAATAAGAAAAAATATATGCACCCTAACACCACTCAACCCAACTACACCTTAAAGATTATGTGAAGAAATGTTTAGAGGTTTCAGCAAAAATTAAAATAAATAGTTGCTAGGCAGCGTTGACAATTAAACAAGTCTATTGGAATACATGGATACTGCTTGAGTATTAATATACATTAGTACATTAATGTTTTAAGTAAATAAGCGAATAGCTTTTTTTGGACCTAGGGCTGTAAAAACCTGTTCGGCCCCCAAAGGACGATTACAGCTGGCGTTTCGACCCTGTACAGCGATGCGTAGCTTTCAGCCTCCAATTAACGTTTGTAAAACGGCCAAAACATCGTAGTGAGGTGAAATAGTACTACATTTCATCACTAGGAAATAAAGTGGCTCTTTCCAACCCGAGCTCAAGCATTACGATCGAGACGAAGCCGAGGTCTTAAAATGAGCAAAGGGTTGAAAGGGCAATTTGGCTCCCTAGGAGCTAAAATAGTTATTTGTGTAACTAGTGGCGAATTAAACATATTTTTTCCTACAGTCACTATAAAGCATATAAATAATAAATTTTTCAAACAATGAACAAAAGGTTTTTAGGTTCGGTTAAATACAAACATTGAACGAAATGGGAAACGATGCACCAGCTGATCGTAGTCGTAATATCAGTGTTGCTAACTTATTTTCAAGCGTACACGTATGATGTGCCTAATAAAAACACGCTGTTTTGTGTTGTTTGGTTGGAATACTGGTGTGCGGAAAAAGTAAAAAACGTGTGGCAAAAGTAAGTAGATGGTAGATAAGTAGATGGTAAGTACCTAGATTGGTTGTGTTGCTAGCCTAGTGGTTAGCGTCTCGGACTTCGGTGCGGGAGGGACGGGTTCAATGTTTTTTCTAGTGGGGCCTTGGTTCAATCCCCGGCACATCCACTAAACATTTATTCTCTCGTGTACCTCTTATGAAATGCCACTGGCGTAGAAAAAAAAGAAAGAAAAAATGCAGCAATTAGCAAATTTCTTTGCTATAATCAGTGCAAGAAATTGTCGGGTGACTGTAGGAAAACTCTGTTTACTCTCTAAAAATCTATATATTTAATTCCGTAAGCGAATCTGTCCCATGAAATATCTCGAGGTAGCAAAAAGGTAGCATAGCTATGATGATTTATTTTTAAGCTTAAGGAGGTGAATGACAGCAATTGCTGTTATGGGCCCCTAGTGCTACTTTAAACCCACAACCACACCACGACCCATACATTAAAACGGATGTTTTTGCTGCAGTACGACGAAAAATATATTTACCTACGACCGTTTTTTAAAGTAGCCATTTCAGTCCAGTTGTTAGAATTGAAAAGTTTCACTTTACAGCTGTTTACTTTCATATCCGCATAGTTTCATTTCATATCCGCATAGTTTCATTTCATATCCGCATAGTTTTCTCATACCCACACAGGTAACGGACCAATGAGGTTCAAGTATTGAGAGAAAAGAATTAAAATTGTAATGCTTCGAACGTCAACTAATCAGCTGATCAGTTGACCAATTTAATTGTTGATCCGACTTGTTCATGTTGATACTTAGTACAGGTAAAATAATACAAAAACACTCCATATAAACAACAAAATTTTTACATTCATTAAATTTCTGTGAGTTACTAATAATATGAGAAATGAAGATCCGATGAGTCCCCAAAATCTTAGGCGTGCTAAGGCCCTTTTTGGGGCCCTTTTTGTTCCGAAGGGCCCTTGTTCCTGAATAATTTTGTTTTTACGTTTAAGGTCGAGTGAGGTGTGGTTTTCGATGGTTTTAGTTATTTTAAATCGATTGGGACTAGTTTTAAGTGTATAAAACCACTCCATACAGGGTGGTTCGAAATATAAATACTTTTTACGATATTTAAACATTTGTTCATAAAGTGATAAAATTAGTTACCACCATGCTCTGTATAAAAGGGGATTATTAAAAATAACTGCAATTCTTTACTATATAAGAGGGAAGGATCACAAGGAGTAGGAGAAAATATTAAATACCCCCGTCACAGCAAACCTGCAGACTAAGCAAATTTTCAGTTGCCCGATTTTCAATTAAATCTAAAATAGCATTGAGTTTTATGAATACTTAGGTTTGCTGCTACGAGGAGGCTAATAAAGTGTGTTTATAGTAAAATATTAATAGCCTAGTATAAAACAAATAAATTTGAAAAGTTTTACTTAGACATAGGCTATCTATAAACAAACAAACAAACAAAGTCATTTACACTATTCTCCTTAAGAATAACATGGAATTTTAAATTTACAATTTTTGCATGTTTTTTGTAACTAATACACTTATTTTATAGAACAGTATTAACAGTATTAAAACACACTTACAAAATATACTAAATTATTTGTTTTCTTTAAGCTCTTTAAAATGCTCTAGAAATAAATTGGGAAACTTTGTCTTTTGAGGGTCAAAGATTACAGATTTTTACCACATAAAACCCTGTTCCATGGACCGATTATGCCGGTTTCGTTAAAATTGGACCAAAATTACTCGAGTTACCATGTTTACGGACACGTATATAACATGGATATATTATATTATATACATGTATATAAACACATATATAATATTTTGAGTGGATGGTGCTTTAGGCTTCTGGGGGCATCGAAATGAAAACGTAAATCGGTTTCGGGTCTATGTTTTACCAAAAGACCTTCGGTAATAGCTTATCTCCTATATGGGATGCTCGCTAAAAGGGGATGGATTAAGTTTTACACTATAACATAATAAATAACATAGGTTACTAAGCAAAAATGTCAACTTTTAAGGTGGTGTGAATAATCTTTCAACTTGTTTTTTGATGCAAATCTATTAAGACCAATTTCATATTTATATGTATTTTTCTTAGGTAGTTATTTAAGTTATTTTTTTACATTTATTAGAAATTAAAACAATTGTATTTGTATAAAACCTTACATTACATATTAAAATGAAGTACTTAAAGTAAAGCTATTTTTCTACATTTTCCGTGGTATCTCTCTTTACAATTTCATCATCACAATAATTATTCTCAGACGAGTCATTAACAATTTTATTATTCTTAGCAACTTGTCCATCTTTACCGATTTTGTCCAAGTTGGTGTTCAAGCAGGATTCCCCTTTACAAACCTAAAACCTTGCATGTTGCAGAACAGGCAACACCAATCTTAAAGCACGAACAATGTGGTGCAAAAACACCTTTCATACATACTGACGTTTGCAACTTGTATCTTAAGTTCCTCACACTTATTTTCAATCAATACAAGTACGGTTATCTTTCGTAATTATGACGACCAGGACAGCACTAAGACATCAGAGCAGCATTGTCGGTACAAGCATTTTTGTCTTGAACAATGGGAACTAGGTTTATGGGGTAAAAATTGGGTTTTCTTAATTACTTTACCCTCAAAACACAAAGTTTCCCAATTTTTCCCTAGAACATTTTAAATAGCTTAAAAACAAATAATCTAGTATATTAACGTGTTTTTGTATGGTTATTAGTTACAGATAAAAATACTAAAATTTTAAATTTAAAATTACAATGTTATTCTTATGTAGAATAGTGTAAAATGATTTTGTTTGTTTGTTAATAGATATATTTTGATCAAACTTGTCAAATTTATTTGTTTTATACTAGGCTATTAATATTTTACCATAAACACATTTTATTAGCCTCCTTGTAGCAGCAAACCTAGGTAATCGTTAAACGCAATGCTATTTTATATTTAATCGAAAATCAAGTAAGTAAAAAGGAAATTCGCTAGGTCTGCAGGTTTGCTGTGACGGGGGTATTTAATATTTTCTCTTACTCCTTGTGATCCTTTCCCCTTACGTAGTAAAGAGTTACAATTATTTCCAATAATCCCCTTTTATATAGAGCATGGTGGTAACTAATTTTATCACTTTATGAATAAATGTTTAAATATCGTAAAAAGTAATAATATTTCGAAACACCCTGTATGGAGTGGTTTAGTACACTTAAAACTACTCCCAATCGATTTAAAATAACTAAAACCATCGAAAGCCACACCTCACTTGACCTTAAACGTAAAAACAAAATTATTCAGGAACAAGGGCCCTTCGGAACAAAAAGGGCCCCCAAAAAGGGCCTTAGGACGCCCAAAATTTTGGGGACTCATCGGATCTTCATTTCTCATATTATTAGTAACTCACAGGTGAAATTTCATGAATGTACAAATTTTGTTGTTTATAAAACCCTATTTTACCTGTACTAACTCGCGTATTCTTAATTAAGTTTGTGGAAGTCCAAAAATAAATGAAATATTTGCCAGATTGTACCTGATACAATATTATTTATGGTAAGAATGCTGCTAGCAATGTAATATTTAAAGAAGTTTAACAAACACGTAATTACAGGAAATCAGCTGATTATACAACAAGTCGTTGCATCACTTTCAGTGGCAATGACAATACACGAAAACATAAACTCTCTAAAAAGTTATCAGTGGTTATTGTTAGTAATTAAATCAAGATTGATAGTAATTAAAAAACGGTCGTAGGTAAAGTAGTGTACGCAACTCGCGTTAATAGTCTTTACGACACTCGTAGAAGTTTTTAAGGCACTCGCCAAGGCTCGTGCCTTATAGTTTCTACTCGTGTCGTAAAGACTCACTTAACGCAATCGTTGCGTAAACTACTATTTTGTGATTGATAACTGAGTAGGTGTGCTACTATAGTTTTGTAAATGCATAATAAATTAAATTGGTCTTTGATGGAACGTAAGCATGTATACAACATACTACGGTAACACACTTTTTTTATGCTATCGGGAAAATTGTTTGGGTTTTGTAAAGTATTAATATGGTGTCACTGGTATAAGGTTCAATTATATTTCATTTTAATTTATCAACAAAATAGTCAGTAAATAATAAATAAAACACAGTACACGTGTTTTATAAGCGGTTCCATACCCAAAATTCTTGTAACTATACTGGCATAGACTCCTCATTCAGTACGTTCCGGCTGATTCTGTTGTCTATTTTTTTTTGTTTTTTTAGGCTTAGACGTTCTGGACAAATGTCAATGGGCAGGATAGTCAGCAACAAGTAACTAATGTAGTTGAAGAAAAGATGTTACTTATCAAGCCTAAATACTGTTGCTGGTGATAAAGTTCTTTGATATTTTTAACGAAATTCGTACTGATACTTGCATATAAATTACAAATTGCATTACAGATTGTCACTCGTAGCATGCGAACGTCCGATACATGTTTTATTGGTTACATGAACACAGCGATATTGTTTGTCAATTAGAATAATCTGCAATCTAGAACACAACGGATAGTGTTGCTAATATAATTCAAATTTTATTTAATTTCAAACTTAGTAGAAAAGTTTCTGTTGTAAATTTATGGTTCCTTTTGCTGCATGAAAATTATCACAATGCCACATCTGTAAACAGTGCGCAAAACTGCTCATTTCCGCTCTTTAAATCAGCTGATTTCGTTGTTTCTACACCATCCACAGTCGCGGATCCTGTACGTTAATAACCGGTAAGCAAAAAACGTACAGTAACCTAAATGACATTTTATATGCAACTTAAATGTTATTCTATGTGCGATTAGATAAGTTAGATATGGTGGTAGGAAAAGTATTGTGTGTATTACGAGCTTAAACAGTCATTGCCGATTTTGAAATATATAGCCACACTCAGATCCTCGTGCGGCCATCTACAGTTCCCGAGCGGCAATGATGTACTTTACGCTCTAATAAGTATTTCTCATCTCATCACTTCCATTTATATATTTTTCGGCATAGTAATTTTCGTAGGATAATGAGCAGTCAGTAATTATTTGAATCTGGCATACTTCGTTCATACCATAAAAATGTATACAGCCTATAAATAGGAGCTACAAACTTAATCTGTGTATTAAACTCTCTCGAAATGCATTTACCTGGTCTTGGAGTAGCTGCTGACACCGACTAGAGGTAGCACCGCCATGACGGTGGAGTAGAGCCAGCCCCCAGCCATGATCTTGGCCGCCGTGCTCAGCTTGAGGCGACGGTTGAGGTGAATGGCGTAGGTGATGGTGTACCACCTCTCTACAGTGATCACTGCCAATGTGAAGATGGACAACTCACAGGCAAAGACTGTCAGGAACCCCGCCACTCGACAACCGTCCCCTGCACCTCCAGAGTACAACAACACTGTCAGTGGCGTTATATAGCACATCTCCACATATAAGATGGATAACTCACAGGCAAAGACTGTCAGGAACCCCGCCACTCGACAACCGTCCCCTGCACCTCCAGAGTACAACAACACTGTCAGTGGCGTTATATAGCACATCTCCACATATAAGATGGATAACTCACAGGCAAAGACTGTCAGGAACCCCGCCACTCGACAACCGTCCCCTGCACCTCCAGAGTACAACAACACTGTCAGTGGCGTTATACTGTATAGCACATCTCCACAGACACGGTCAATACCGTCCCCTGCACCTCCAGAGTACAACAACACTGTCAGTGGCGTTATACTGTATAGCACATCTCCACAGACACGGTCAATACCGTCCCCTGCACCTCCAGAGTACAACAACACTGTCAGTGGCGTTATACTGTATAGCACCTCTCCGCAGACACGGTCAATACCGTCCCCTGCACCTCCAGTACAACAACACTGTCAGTGGCGTTAAACTGTATAGCACCTCTCCACAGACACGGTCAATACCGTCCCCTGCACCTCCAGTACAACAACACTGTCAGTGGCGTTATACTGTATAGCACCTCTCCACAGACACGGTCAATACCGTCCCCTGCACCTCCAGTACAACAACACTGTCAGTGGCGTTATACTGTATAGCACATCTCCACAGACACGGTCAATACCGTCCCCTGCACCTCCAGTACAACAACACTGTCAGTGGCGTTATACTGTATAGCACCTCTCCACAGACACGGTCAATACCGTCCCCTGCACCTCCAGTACAACAACACTGTCAGTGGCGTTATACTGTATAGCACCTCTCCACAGACACGGTCAATACCGTCCCCTGCACCTCCAGTACAACAACACTGTCAGTGGCGTTATACTGTATAGCACCTCTCCACAGACACGGTCAATACCGTCCCCTGCACCTCCAGTACAACAACACTGTCAGTGGCGTTATACTGTATAGCACCTCTCCGCAGACACGGTCAATACCGTCCCCTGCACCTCCAGTACAACAACACTGTCAGTGGCGTTATACTGTATAGCACATCTCCACAGACACGGTCAATACCGTCCCCTGCACCTCCAGCACAACAACACTGTCTGTGGCGTTATACTGAATAGCACCTCTCCACAGACACGGTCAATACAGTTTAAAAGTAAGTAATTGAAACCGCCCATTACACCAATCAGGTCTGCTCGTTGACCCTGAAAAACGAATCGCCTTAAAGTACATTCTGGAGAAACCCCTCTTTGCATGATATGTTGTATTCGCTTGAAGAACAGAAGTCAATGGAGTCGTGGCAGAGGTCGTGTGTTCTCCCACTTAGTTTACGTTAAGTACTTGAGAAGTGAGATGCTCTATCATTAGGACTTTGAGATCATAGGTGCTCTTGGAGGCACTTCTGTTATGCGTAATCTCTTAAACCGTATTACACACCTACTTTGTCCAAGAGATGGACACTTACCGTAATTTCTACAGACCATCGCTGGGTTCCAGATTTGGCTCATAAACGCGAGCACAGTCGAGGAAGCAATGCTCTCAACAGGAGTGAACAGCAACGCAATCCTTGTTTTGCTTAGAAGGTTTTGAAGGCGAAAGACTATTGCGATTGACTAGTCTATAGTGACACTTCACCATGACATGTGAATACATTGTAGTTATCCGTAAACATAAATAATCTTTGTTTTATTATATGATTATGTGAAGCATAAAAAGTCTTTGGAAATGAGTAGTGTTTCATCGGGTGTGATTGCTACGATACATACTAATTCATGACCCAATGTAAAGTATGTACAATTTTCTTATTGAATAGATAGTTCATTCCAAAGTATTTTTACGTATATGACCTGCCATTACTAAGACATCGGTAGAAAAGGTTTGACAAAACATGAAAACATTTGTTGTGACACGGTTCCAATCAATACACATATTTTCTTTAGGTTTAAAATCAAAATGTCATAAAATAATTACCATTTAATTGTGCAGTAACGAAGCAAGATAATTAATTAAGCTTTACAGACACTACGAGGCGTCAAACAACATCTGTTGAGTGGAGTTATTAATCAATCAGCAAGAGATGATATATAAATGACATGTCTGATTTACGTTAGCTTGCGCGGTACATGTCATCGGGCTGGATGGATGAGATATGAATATGCATGTTGACAATGGAATTCGAAACGATAATGGTTTACAGAACCCAGACATTCTATTATGGCCGTCATTAATTGTTCTTCATCCAACTCGGTATTATTTAAATCTACAAAATACACAGTATAAGGTATTCATTTTTGTCAAGAGTACGTATTTCAATACCCCATTTAATTTAGTAAAAGAAATACCGAGCTTATTTTGTTGGATACATTAAATCTTAAAGAACGTTAACGCCCCGAGCAAATAAATACTTCAGTGGCTTTTCATTGCTGCTAAAGATACGCATCCATTCCTTATTATTATTTAAATTGTAAAACAGGCTACAACCAACTGTAATGTACGTCTAGATTATGAACTTAACTCTAACTTCCTACAACGAGGTTAATAATTGTGTATTTTGAAGTAGTTCAGTGTTCGGTGACAGCGGAGCACCTTAAAACTGTGTAACTACTAGCTTAACTCGATAAGTACATAGCATTTTAAATTTACGATGCAGCGAGACCCAACTTTAAAATTTCAGTCACTTACGACTGCTTGTTTTTGCATCGAATGTAAGCCAGGTCGTAAAATGCATATTTGGGTTTGACCTGTGAATTTATGGCTGAGGTTATAATGTTGATTGTTAGATGTTTTAAGTTTTCAGGCGATCGATTTAAATGACATTAGGACAGCATAGTTTGTTTAACATAGTATAACGTTCGAACTAATTTTGATCAACAATTAATTAGCTGTGTTAATGCAAGCAGATGGGAATTTAAATTATTCAAATACAGATTGATCGCAGCTCTGCTCTTGAATCCCTCGTTGTCATTCAAGGCGCGTAGTAACAACTGAACGCAATCATCCGGAACAGAACAAACAATCGTTCAATCTAATTTCATTTTCCAGTTTTATCTATTCTGCAGTTTTTACTTCCATTAAACTGGAACTCCTACGGTAAGTTAAAATATTATAACGCTGGGATATTTCAACCTCTTAACAATTAATTTACTAGTAAAATCAATTTTATTACAATCGTAGAATTGTACATTTTTATCATCTAACCTGGATCATTTTCTCTCACCAGATCCAAATGTGTGGAAACTAAATCCGTATACGCAAACCACATTTTATATTTTCTCCCTCCAATCCAAATAAAGATATTTACAAGTATTATGGTATGAAATTGTATTCTCTTTAAATCGTTTCTAAAATAAATTTAGGACCATAAAAGAAACAAATAAAAACTAGATCTACCGTTCTGCCAGTCGATGGCGTAGTTAAAGTAGTCCCCGATGGAGCGCGCATCCATGACTGCTATCAGTAGCAGGTAGACACCCATGCAGAAGTCGGCCAAGGCGAGGTTGCACATCAGGAACTTGGGCACTGTGATGCGGAATCTGGGCACAAGATGGATAACATATCTGATGTCAGTTATTTTAGAATCAACATTTTCAAAAAGGTGACACATTCTATCAGTTTACTGTACAAATCAATCCAGGGCCCACGACGATGTGTTAGCAATATGCTGGAGTTGAGTTCACACACAAACACCCAAAACGAGTGCCTGAAACTTGATTATATGGGAACTTACTTTTAGCCCTCAAGTTTGCAGCGCCAGGAGTTTTACTTTATTCTTTACCTTAAGAAAATATGTCGTTGATGTTACGAATTGCGAGTAAAAATAGATTTCTGGTTGGTGGGTTTTTTCTTTCCAATACTATTTACGTGGATATTTATTGTTTAAAAATCCCTTCTTTAGGTATTGTATACGTTTGACATACAAATATCTAACTTTCACAAATTTAAATATGACAATAAAAATAATAGTTTATGTGTTTAATTTAATTCATAATCCTGTCAGAAATAATTATTAGTTTATTGTTTTAAATTATATATAAGAGTGTAAGGAAATACAAGTTAAAGAGATGAGTATAAAAGCTGAACACACTCGGCGCTAACGTTCTAAGCCTTACTAATTATGCCTCGGGTATGCAGCAATGTAGTAACATAAAGATATAGATTGGATGACGCATCACATCTTCAAAAACCAATTACGTAACACAAGAGTGTAATATTCCATTTGTAATTAGCACGATTCAGTCGTTCTAAAGGAAACTAGAGTGGCTTATAAGATCGACATTACTAATTAGCAATTTATTCGGTTGAGCTGTGAATCCCTTTAAACTCTGTAGCTTAGGGCAGATTAAGAACCTTTAGCGGGGGTATATTGGAACACATCCGAAACTTGATGTAATCAAGAGTTTTATAATCAACGTTTAGTAATGGTTTTGACACCACCTAAAAGGAAAAAAAATACGCCAAATAGCACTCAAGTGTTATTTGACGCATTTTTTTCTTTCATGTGATTTAATAGATCCCAATTTAATGTACGATGCCGATCATGAAGTTATTTACAAATTACTAATGAAATTCAAAAGTTTTGTGAAAATGTGTATAATCGCATCTACATAGTGGATTGGAAGCATTTATGGTTTTAAAAAGACAACAAAAACTACTTTTCTAGAATTTAGGACGTATTTCTTTTTATTACAAACTATCATTCAATATAATAATTATACTGTATGGAAATGTGAATTAAAGCACTAGCATCCAAAACAAGTTTTTAATTACGATATTATGTTTCTTTGTGGTGTGTCCTATTTGGAGGTCAGGGATAAAACGAAAAAAGGTGGGATAGTTCCATCAAACAATTTATGTAATGATAAAATAAAGTCGTGATTTTATCTGGCAGTGACTATTCCAATACGGTTTTATTCTTTTTCAACAGAATAAGAACTTTTGTGCTTCAATAATAATGCCGTGGTGTTATCTTGTTGGTTTTAACTAATGCAAATTTTGTTTCTCCGTATTTAAAAATGTGGACTAAACAAACATATGATTACCAAGTGTTTTGTATTTCGTTTTTATAGCATTGGTTGAAGTTTTTATTTTATTTGATACTATTCATACTAAGTATGTATGTCATTTTTGAGAAAGTAGACTTTAGTACTACTTTAGTAACAAAATAGGTTTTCTTAATTTTACTGAAGCATATTAGCTACAATTTATTCTAATTTTGTTTAAATAAATCGTAGGTTAATCAACAAAATCTAAGAATAGAACCATCCATTGTTTTTTTTTTTGTTTTTTTAACTTGTGTTACTTAATGGAATAACGTAATTAGTGTATTACTTTATTGTGTAATATAATACATTTAATAAAAATATGATTGGCATGTATTATAAACTAACCCTTATATTTTTATAGAAAATATACTTAAAACGTGACTTCTATACAATTTGTAATTCATTCTTTCTGTAACTTTGTATGTACAACCCATGTTATTATTCACCTAGAGGAGAGCAGCACAAGTATGACCGCTATGTTGCCAAACAACGCCAGCACGGCGACCACCCAGACTGCAGCACGGAGGGTCCAGTGTCCCATGATGTCCTCGCAGGGGTTGAAGGCGTCAGGAGCAGGATAACACAACACCTCCTGGTAGTTCTTGCTCAAGTTCCCGCACAACGCGTGGATGCGGTGGTTGGGTTTCACTGGAACCTCTACAAAAAAGCATTGAATGCCATAGTACAGAATCACATTTTAGTGCCATAGAAAATCATTTATTACATTTTATAGAATTGAAGAAAGCATATTTTTCAAAATACGACTTTTGTTTAGAACAACATAAAACCTACACAGTAATGAAATATCACAACACCGAAAAAGTCCCCATAGCATTGAAAATAATTCCCACAATCACTCCCAGAGGCAAAGTCAATTGCATACCACCGAATCATACGTACTATTTGTTTAAGGCCCTGCAGCATCAAAAGATTGTTTGTAAAATCCTATATCACCTAAAAGTTCGGAGGTAAGATATATATATATAATATATAATAATATAATAATAGTAATATATGGTAATATAGAACTTAGTCTAATGGAATGTGCCAAGAGGTGCCGAGGTGGCCCCTAGAGGTGTCGGAGCTGTATGTAACTGACCCCATATTACATTATTGTAGCTCGTGATGCACTGATATATATAACTTACTCTGATGGAAGGTGCCGAGAGGTGCCGAGGTGGCCCCTAGAGGTGTCGGAGCTGTCTGTAACTGACCCCAGATTACATTATTGTAGCTCATGATGCACTGATATATATAACTTACTCTGATGGAAGGTGCCGAGGTGGCCCCTAGAGGTGTCGGAGCTCTATATAACTGACCCCATATTACATTATTGTAGCTCGTGATGCACTTATATATTACTTACTCTGATGGAAGGTGCCGAGAGGTGTTGAGGTGGCCCCTAGAGGTGACGGAGCTGTCTGTTACTGACCCCATATTACATTATTGTAGCTCGTGATGCACTTATATATTACTTACTCTGATGGAAGGTGCCGAGAGGTGTTGAGGTGGCCCCTAGAGGTGACGGAGCTGTCTGTTACTGACCCCATATTACATTATTGTAGCTCATGATGCACTTATATATAACTTACTCTGATGGAAGGTGCCGAGGTGGCCCCTAGAGGTGACGGAGCTGTCTGTAACTGACCCCATATTACATTATTGTAGCTCATGATGCACTTATATATTACTTACTCTGATGGAAGGTGCCGAGAGGTGTTGAGGTGGCCCCTAGAGGTGACGGAGCTGTCTGTTACTGACCCCATATTACATTATTGTAGCTCATGATGCACTTATATATTACTTACTCTGATGGAAGGTGCCGAGGTGGCCCCTAGAGGTGACGGAGCTGTCTGTTACTGACCCCATATTACATTATTGTAGCTCATGATGCACTTATATATTACTTACTCTGATGGAAGGTGCCGAGAGGTGCCGAGGTGGCCCCTAGAGGTGACGGAGCTGTCTGTTACTGACCCCATATTACATTATTGTAGCTCGTGATGCACTTATATATTACTTACTCTGATGGAAGGTGCCGAGGTGGCCCCTAGAGGTGACGGAGCTGTCTGTAACTGACCCCATATTACATTATTGTAGCTCGTGATGCACTTATATATTACTTACTCTGATGGAAGGTGCCGAGAGGTGCCGAGGTGGCCCCTAGAGGTGACGGAGCTGTCTGTTACTGACCCCATATTACATTATTGTAGCTCGTGATGCACTTATATATTACTTACTCTGATGGAAGGTGCCGAGAGGTGCCGAGGTGGCCCCTAGAGGTGACGGAGCTGTCTGTAACTGACCCCATATTACATTATTGTAGCTCGTGATGCACTTATATATTACTTACTCTGATGGAAGGTGCCGAGAGGTGTTGAGGTGGCCCCTAGAGGTGACGGAGCTGTCTGTTACTGACCCCATATTACATTATTGTAGCTCGTGATGCACTTATATATTACTTACTCTGATGGAAGGTGCCGAGAGGTGTTGAGGTGGCCCCTAGAGGTGTCGGAGCTGTCTGTAACTGACCCCATATTACATTATTGTAGCTCGTGATGCACTTATATATTACTTACTCTGATGGAAGGTGCCGAGAGGTGTTGAGGTGGCCCCTAGAGGTGACGGAGCTGTCTGTAACTGACCCCATATTACATTATTGTAGCTCGTGATGCACTTATATATTACTTACTCTGATGGAAGGTGCCGAGAGGTGCCGAGGTGGCCCCTAGAGGTGACGGAGCTGTCTGTTACCGACCCCATATTACATTATTGTAGCTCATGATGCACTTATATATAACTTACTCTGATGGAAGGTGCCGAGGTGGCCCCTAGAGGTGTCGGAGCTGTATGTAACTGACCCCATATTACATTATTGTAGCTCGTGATGCACTTATATATTACTTACTCTGATGGAAGGTGCCGAGAGGTGTTGAGGTGGCCCCTAGAGGTGACGGAGCTGTCTGTAACTGACCCCATATTACATTATTGTAGCTCGTGATGCACTTATATATTACTTACTCTGATGGAAGGTGCCGAGAGGTGCCGAGGTGGCCCCTAGAGGTAACGGAGCTGTCTGTTACTGACCCCATATTACATTATTGTAGCTCATGATGCACTTATATATAACTTACTCTGATGGAAGGTGCCGAGGTGGCCCCTAGAGGTGTCGGAGCTCTATGTAACTGACCCCATATTACATTATTGTAGCTCGTGATGCACTTATATATTACTTACTCTGATGGAAGGTGCCGAGGTGGCCCCTAGAGGTGTCGGAGCTCTATGTAACTGACCCCATATTACATTATTGTAGCTCGTGATGCACTTATATATTACTTACTCTGATGGAAGGTGCCGAGAGGTGCCGAGGTGGCCCCTAGAGGTGTCGGAGCTGTCTGTTACTGACCCCATATTACATTATTGTAGCTCATGATGCACTGATATATATAACTTACTCTGATGGAAGGTGCCGAGAGGTGCCGAGGTGGCCCCTAGAGGTGTCGGAGCTGTCTGTAACTCTCCCCAAATCTCAGCTGTGTCGTTCTCCGTCAGCCAAGGCTCGTTGTCCCAACTTCTCTCCACCCTGGAATGTGGACTCTCTGATTCTTCTGGCTTGTGGCATAACTCCTCAGTTTTTCTAATAAACTCCTGAACAAAAACATAAATATAGTACAATTTTAACTACTTACTATCTAACTAAGAATATCGCACAACAAATGAACATTTGGACGTTCAGTATCGGTTTACTTCTAGACACCTTTACCTTTATTGTCATATAAAAATTAATATGTAGGCCTAATAATTGCATTTCAACATTTCAAAATGCAACACTTCAAAATGTTAATAATTAGAAACACAAAAACTCAATAATTATATCTGGAAAATATGTCAAAGAAAATAAATAAATAATTAGTGTTTCCTGTAAATTTACTCTAGACTATGATATGGGAAACTTTTGGGCACAATGAATTAAGAAAGGGCTCCTATGATTTCCTCCAATTTGTTAAAAATATCTTAGTTTTAGGCTAAAAACAATATCCCTTCTAGGCTCAGTTTACGGAAAATTCGTTTTACGTTAAAAACGTAAAGTTAAATTTCAATAATTTAAACATTAGTCTTATAGATTGTCAGCTATAGCAGTTTTAAGAAAATGTAAATGAATGAACTGTAACATATGCTTGTAATAAATCATCCACAGTACAGAAGAAAATCACTAAATACAGTAAAAAAGAAGAGAACATTCCATCGAATACTATTTAGCATTGATTATAAATACACTTGGCGAGTATTTATAAAAAAGTAGATATTGAATTAAAACCCTCAGAGAAAAGAAAATAACGTTTTGTAGTTTTCGACGATGCGCTGCAGGAATAGGCGGGTTGTTTGTATGATTCCACGGGTTATAAAATAGAAACGGTACGTATCATAAACATAAACAATAATGACCCGAAAATAAACATGTTTGTATTTTTATTTCAAATTTGTTTTGTCCTAGGACAATGCAACTGTCTAAAAGCGTCCAAAAAAGATGTAGATAAACAACACAACATGAAAGTATTAGTATTAGATTCCATCCAGTGTCGTCATTATTTTATGTTTTTGATCCAAAATGTTTCTGTTCTAATGTCCGTTCCGTGATCCCAATGACTAATATGTCGCAACCAGAGAGCATATAATATTCGCAACTAGCAACAAAGCTGGTCAACAGCTGATGTTAAATCTTATCACGACTCACGAGTTTGTTACTTAACTTTCTTGTAAATATTTTCAGTATAGACTGTTCGTCTGTATGGAAATGTTTGTTAAGTAAATTTAAGAATAAAGAGGGAACGTCTACAAAGAAAAATAAGCTTTACAGCTTAATTAACCATGGAAAATTGAAATTAAAGACGATTTACACGTAAAACAAGTTTAAGTTTTATGTTTCAAACAGTGACCTAGAGTTCCAACGTAATAGTTTTATTTTAACATGTTTGTTTTATTTATATCAGTTTAAAAACTAACTTCTTTATACTCGTGTAAATCATATGCTCTATACCCCAAGAGCATAAAGTAAAAGCTGTGACATTTTTTGTCCCGCAAACCCTTAAGTTCAGCCAATAGTTCAGCCTTTGAAATTACATTAAACAGCCTAAAACCACATATTAGAGTGTTTAGTTGCAGTTTTTACTATTTTGCTGTTTTTATGATTACACCTTATTTCTAAGAGTAGATTCATCAGAGTTTTGAATAAAAATGTCATTTTCTTAGGCGTAGCACACAACTGTACGATGCTTCTAACAGCTAGGAGAATTAATCGGTAAAGGAAACACCATGTCAAATAAGCTACTAAATATGAGATTAACTTAGTTATTATAACATAAAGTCTTATACAATGGCTCAGCTTAAAGAAATAGCAATACTGTAAGTTAATGGTACTATTATTTAAGTGCAGACTTTTTGATTTTTGGTTTTTTTGATTACGTGTCGGTAATTCAAGTTCACTTAGGTGTTTTTGAAAACTGGTTCAAATTCTATAGTTTGTTGACCAATTGTCCAATTATTCAAAAATAATATTTAGTTAAATCTTTGCATTACGTAAACTGTTAATAGTACTTTTGGTATTTGTATTTTACAAAGTAGCCTTGGTCAACGAGGTAGTTTAACTAGTCTGGCCCAAAGTCATCGGAACCCCTAATCGCGCTAGTCCGAGGGCAAAGTTACGTATTAATTAAATCTTTGCCTGTATTTAAGCTTGAGATAGATTTACCACTTGTAGTCCTCGTTGTAAAACGCGCTTTCACATCTTATATCTATTATTTCATTATGATCCAAAAGGATTTTGGAATACGAGCAATTATTTTTGAACTGTTCGTATAAAAAAAGGATTTTTGAATATTTGGCGAATAACAAACTGTTTAGGATCTGCATAAATCTTAGGATCAAATCATTTAGGTTTGTTAGAATGAGGTTTGTAAATAATAATATTAATAGGGTACATGAAAAATACTACGAATTTTAATTGCAGCTCCAAACACCGGTGTTACGTTTGCACAAGGGCTTGTTTGCTGATCACGTTAACAGCCCACTCACACCGGTCCGGTTGTTTTTAACAAACACAGTTATGTCGTTACCTGATCAGAAGCTAAAGTTAGCTACAGGATTTGGGTTTAAATTGTGGGGCTTATTTTTGCAAGAGAGTGTTCTCTTGGAGTTCTGCTCAATCCGGAGACAGAAATATATTCAAATATTCATTATTTGTATAAAACAACGAATACGACAAGTTTTTACATCCAACACGTTTTGCAAGTTTGGTTTAAACAATTCTTTAGTAGAATATAACGTTGATTATCTCTAGCATTAAAAAATGCTATACACTGGGCTATACAACATTAATATTTTTGATTAAAAATATTTATGTGCTGGAATGAATGCGAATAGTGTACATATTATTTCACTAGAACATTATTCGTTAAACGTTACATATTACGACGTTGCCTTCTTAATTACCTATGTTTCATTCCAGGGTGTATGTGAGAAATAAGAAGAACCCAATGAAATTTATGTGAACTCTGAAATATTCTTTCATCTTTTAACAAAGGAGTCTTTGGTTTCGGAATAAATTGTTTGAGTTTGTTAGAACGATTGATACTTAGAAATACAGTTTAAAATCAACTAAGGCCTATCATCATATTTTGATAAAAACAATATAAGTGAAGTGCAGTCATTGTTTTTGCCATTCTAGGCATGATTGTGAGATCAACTACAATGATTGTATTAAGTATAGTTCTTATTGTATTTAATTTACTGTATTTGCAAAGGTTTGGTTTTATGTTTTTGTAGTATTTAGCCTAAAGTACAGTGAAACATCATAAACTACATTAAAATTCATTAAAATAAACTAATATATGAAGTTTAAGTTGTTTATTATTGTGATGTTTCTAGAAACATAATTAATGTCGAGACAAAGTATGTATTACAAGTTTAGGCACATGGTCATTTCATAGCATGCCACTCATACAATATATGAACGTTGATGCATCAGCTTAGAGGGTAAAACACAGTTATTCGTTTACGAATAAAGGCGTAGTCGCCAAAGATTGATCAAAACAAATCTGTTTAGGACCTAAATCTCTTTCCACACAGCTTTTTGATATTTTGTATAAATTTATGTATACTATAAATATTTATTTTTTATAACGTTGTAATATGTAAGACATTATCGGGAGCACGACATCTTGGTGCTTTATCGATCAGTGGACAAATCATGTAAATTACTTGAAAGACCCGTTCAATAAATGAGTATTAAATGTAATAAAGTACTAAATGTAATAAAGTAATAAAGTAAAGTGAGTAGTAAAAGTAATAAATGAGAATACTTGTGTTCTCATTTATTATTTTTCAACTAAGACAGTAAAATAATAATAAAAACGTAAAGTAAAGTATAATGTACAATACCTACCTGATGTTTATGATATTCCACAATGTCGTGTTTCGCAGGAAATCTAAATGCGCAGCAGTGATACGCGTATGTTAAGTAGACCTCACGAATAAGCTGGAAACACAACAAAACATCAATCTCATTGGCAAACAACAATTTAAGGATTATTCAGATGAGGCAGTTTTACGAGAACGTCATTACGGTACTTTATCGTTATTCATTAGTCTAATTTAGGACTTTTAAAAACTGGCAATGGAACCGCTTCGTGCTCATCTTACCTCGAATTTGTAAACGGACGGAAAGACCTTGAGAGATCGGGTTTCTTGTACACGCAACACTTCTAGATCTCGCAGTCCTTCGGTAGGAAGGGAAGTGATAGCAGTCTCTGATAGATCTCTAAAACACAGAAGAAAATTATCTTCAGGATAAGTTTTGAATGTAAAATAATATGTGAATGAATACTTTAGTAAACTAACTATTGCTAACAAACTACAGTATACGAAATTGGAATATTATAATGTGTGACCACTTTCACAAATAGTGCGTATTATAATAATAACAATACAAAAATAAATCTTACCATTAATGTGATGACTTATGATGGCTACATATTTTATCGAATTAAACTTTTTTAGTCTAAAAAGCATTTATAAAAAATCAGGAGAAATATTTTGAATGGATCGAATTATTTAATTGAACTATCAAACTTATAAAATGAACAAAATGTCACAGTGACAACTTACAGATGACGTAAACTTTTAAGTCCCTCGAAGGCATACTCATGGAGGAATACAAGTGCGTTGTTTCCTTTTAAACTCCTGCAACAGACAAAACACAGCAGTCAGAAGGTTTAACGTGTTATGACTATCGGGTGATGAAGTTAGTGGAAAGAGAAGTAATTTTGATAGTTAAAACCAACCTTCGTCCACCTACGAGGCTCGATTAAAACACTCTACTTGCTCTTATTTTCTGCGAGCTGCGATACACCATTAATATGTAAATTTTGAAATTTTTACATATATTAACCTACTACTATCATGATATAAATGTGCTCTCTTGTAACTATATAAATGTAAATAAAATAATATTAATAAAAACTTAAATAAAAAAAAAAAAACAACTGTATAAAACTCCCAGACTCGTCATGACCTGTTGTAAGATAGTTATCTCATTGACTATGCACAGTTATACATGTGGTCAGTTCCTCTAACTTTTTACACTTACTTTTAAAGTGTACTCTCACTGTATAAGGTTAGAGGAACCAACTACATTGAATAAACAATAACATCTTCAGACAAAATAAAATCATCTGATTAGTTTGTTAACAAGTACGTTGACTTTTACCACAGCTGAATAAAACAATTAGGGTGTTTAGCGTGAATTTTAAAAACAGTAAAAAGGTGTGCAATTTTTAAGCCATCCTAATGATTGTTAATTGATAAAAAAGACACTTTTGGGGTTATGTAACATTTTATTATTGTTTGAAATAATCTAAACTCGTTTAAAAATAACTTGCAAAGCGGACGCAGACTGTTGCATTGTTGTGGCAGACTAAGGCCGCATGCCTCGGCATACACTACATCTAACCTCCAGCGGTCACGTATTACTAAAGCAGCCATAACTCAGTTAATATTCATCCAATCTCAAAAATAACTCATAAAGGTTAACATGGAAAACCCCAGAGCCACTGGGGTGGAGCTTAAGGTGTCAATCGATTTGTAATTAAATTGTCGTAAAAAAGTTATTCCTGTAATTTTTTTGTAAACTCAAAGGTTTTTGAATAATTTAAGAAACAAAACTTTAAATAACCGCTATTTTGTTTCATGAAATTTAAAAATGTTCATAATTTTTTGTAGATTTGTCTAGTTGTCATAAATGTTTTTGCAAAGTTTCAATTTCGTATCTCTTACCGTTTTTTAGAAAACAATTAATAAGCGAAAAAAAACAAAATGGCGGCTGTGTGAGTAACTAAGGACTTCCGGTCAATTTAAATATGATATTTGGATTTGTTTCTTACCCAGGAACAATACCCTAAAATATCCGACACGAATTCTGAAACACCCTGTATACATAAATATGTGCGACATGCTGCTAAACATGGATGAATATCAAGAAACGAGTTTTTTTTTAAGTAATTCGTAGTATATAAATTTGATTTGATAATTAGGGGAAATTAAATTTCTTCATATTATTTAGAAATTTATCTTAACAGAAATAGGATTTAAGAAATATGTTGTGTAAAACTGTTAAAAACACAACTGTCAAGTCAAAACCATGTTTTATAGTGTTACAACTTCCAATTTATCACATGTGACTGAGTACGTCAGGGCCAGAGTAAACGATGATAAAGCTGCTCTGGCCATTGAGGGAGAGGGCTTGATTATCAACCAACTGTAACTGTCTAGTATAACAATATAATGACGGCCGTTTGAGAACAATGGCTACATTAGTCGTCATTTGATAACAGAAAACGCAAATTACAGACTTTAATAGGGTAATATACAGAATCGCGACTTTCCACAGCATTAAGTTCATATTTTAGGGATGGTATTGTGTTGTATTCTCCATTTTAACACCCGAAAAAAAACTGGATGAAATAAATCATCTCCAACAAATATATTATTCCTCTAATTTCTCTAAATTATATAAAGTAAAAATACTTTTCTTACTATCTAAAAAATACATTTAGTTGTTGCCTTTTAACTTTATAGCACACTATGTATGAGAACAGAAATGCAAAGGCATAATAGTTAACGTATTTCACCTTTTACTATTAATACAACAACACCTTTTTCAGACAAACACGTTTAACTAATAAGATTTCAAAAAAGTTATTTTTACACATCAAATAAATATTATACTAACTTACTAACTATAAAAACATAAATGTCATACTAGCACCGGATATGCAATTTTCTAGGAGATAAAAAAGAATGGTCAAGACAGTTTTAGTTGATAAATGAGAACGACGGTGTCATCAAAAATAGGTAGAACTTTGTCACTGAACCGAGCTCAGAATGAAAGACAACCTTGTTATTTCAACATAACGTCTGAGACAACCAAAATAAGTTGATTTAAACTTCCTTGGATTCGGTTTCAAGGCTTGTTGTTTGCCCTTCCATCGTGTCCGTTAAGAGACAAACTACTGTAAACAAACTGTTCTTTTCTTTCTATCAAAAGTACAATTTCTTTCTTGGCCCTTTGTTTTGTATTGTGCGGTACAGAAAGTTATGTTCAGTAAGTACAATTTGCACGTACAGTTTCGTTTGCTCAGCAATGTATTCCTGAATATTATTTAGTTAGCTTACGAGGCATGACGCATTTCAAAGATTGTTATTTATTACCAAATTTCTTGGTTTGTATTTCTACGAAGTGGTTGTATTGTGTTCTTTTAAGTGGTAGACCACAATTAAACGAAAAAAAGTTTTGTTTATTAAATACCTAACACACATTTTACGAAACCAACGTTAATTTTGTATCATAAAAGCGTCCTACATAACAATGAGACATGTATAATTAATAACTTTCACTGTGTTTACCTTGTATTTAAATTTGTTAAGTTACATCTTTGCATTTCAAACATTTACCCTGATGAACAATTCAATTTGATGTGAATTATTTTACAGCATTTCTCATTATTAGTATCCTTTATTTAAATGGTTATCCTAAAGATATCATGGAAATATATTTTATTTTACTTCTTAATCAACTAAGAACGCTTTGCTTCTAAATTAAAAACCCTTACGACTGATCAAGGCTTTGTTAACCATGATCAATTTTGTGCAGTTTATTCAAATGTCGGAAATAACTACCAACCTTTAAATTTATGTATTCTAACAATTTATCAAGAATCGTTTGATTAAGAGAATAAATTTCCAAATTTTTTTTCTAAAATTTAGTGGCAAGTGTGATTGTTTTAGTCTAATCGTCAATACATTGTATTACTGAACAGGTACGCATTAGCAATGGAGCTGATTCATATGAAGGTAAATTCAAAACTTTAGCAGCCACCCTCCTAAATAAATAATTTATTGCTGCCTTATTTCAAATAACAACTGAAAATGTTTTTATTCTTTATAAAACATTTTCATTAACAGATATATTGTAGAATTGTAACATCAGTTGTTGAAGTAAAATAATGCACTCGATCCCTATTCCTACATTTTCGGTATTATCTCCATCTTTATAAGTTTAAATGGGTCAATCTCAGCAAACAAACTGTTTTCAACCACTCCAGTCTCTAAAGTTTATGCTTATTCTTCAGAATTTTCTACCGCTTTTGAATTTTACGGAGTATATCTTTCGACCGGTCTATTCTATTCTAGGCTATTTCAACATTGATCAAGAAAGAGTTTGTAGGCTAATCAAAAACAATAATACATACAAAGGTTGCTAAGAATCCGCGGCTTTCAGTATTTGATTGTGCGCAGCTTGGTGGGGTGCTTCCCCTCAAACCCTGAGAATATATGATACATTTTGAAACAAATTTAAGAGCTTGGAAGGTTTAATTATTAAACCAGTGTTAATTTTTATAAGTTTTTGAAGTGATGGTCTTCTCTTAAAGTATCTTGCAGATATTAGATCGCATTTCCAAACCTAGCCCTTTTATAAATACCAAACAATGACTCTAATGGTAATATACCTGTACAAGACATTATACGTATACTACGAGTACAATATATTCAACATTACAACGTGACGTGATTACAGAAGTTTGAAAATAGCATCAAAACAACCTAAATCAAATCAAACAAACATGCATGTTTTATTACAGTTTAAACAGGGCTAATAAGTTCTACTTTTGGTCCAATTAACTTCTATTGCAGATAATTCGAGAAAGTTTTAAGTATTCAACTCATAAATAGTTACATACGCAAATACATTCATTCAGTACACATCTCACTATATTAAAAACCTGCATACTCATTAAACACAAACGCAAACAATTATCTAATTATACAACCAGATAACTGCAGATTTCCACTATAACACTATTATTTGTTACAAACATTCATTTAATTAAAGTCGTGCCTCAATTTCTCAGTTAATTTATTTTGATAGTAATATTGACTACAATTTAATTTTATAAATGAGATTTCAACATGTAAGATAAATTAAATTGTTTAACTCTCTTTTTTCGTTTGAAAGAGTTAGCTTTGTAAAAAGAGCATCCAGTTCTTACGAGCTTTTTAATTCCAATATTGCTGCTCAGGTCTGGTATATTACAGTCTGAAACACGGGTTTCTCGTAAAACGTGTCTTTTATCTTCATGATGATTTATTGGGATAACAATATAAAAGCTTCGTCGGTACTGTTTTGGATTGTCAAAGTCAGTTGTGAGTTTAAAAAATAGACATCGATAGCTGTACATCGTAAAAATAAGTTTAAGTCAGATTTAAAAAAAACGCTACACTAATACGACAATATATAACTTAACGATAAATACTATACCAAATACAGAAGAACTTTTCTCAGACTTTGGATGGTTTAAGGTATTGTTTGATAAGAGTCAATATTGATATCTTATTATGAGTTTGGTCTTAAAGTTTTTGCTTAAAATACTTCCATTTACTTCTCTGTGAATAATAACGTAGGGTGGGTGAAACATAATTTAATCTGTAATAGATTTTTTACAGTGTACAAATATCACGTTGTGCATGGTACAAACGAAACACTCACACTTTTGCTATCTGTGAAAGGTTAAACGCTCCTCGGTCAACTTCTTGTATGATGTTGTAGTTTATGACCCTGAAACATTGAAACATTATAACTTTCTCAAAACATATTTTTCGTAGTTTAATTTACACTAATTAAGTAGTTAGGTATTACGTATTAAGTAATTACTCTTATTATGAGGGCCAGGGCAAAATAATTCGAATCCCTCAAACTATCATAAATGTCAAATTATTATTAGACAAAAATATTCAGATACATATCCCGATTGATGAAACACAACATCCCAACAGTATTATACAGTATACTCGTAGTATGGTGTATGGTGATTTACAAAATTGTAATTCTTTAAAGAGACCACAAAGTTATTTTAATCTAGTTAGGTACAAGAAGCACAAAAGTATTAATAGTGCAAAAAGTAAACTTTCCATATTGTACAATATGAAGATCTTTTGGCACACATTTTATGTCTGAAACATTCGAGTCCACTGATGTTGACTAAATGTTGCCAACGTTTTAGCTTATGAATAATGATTATAGAATATGAATAAACATATGTTATAATCATTCTAGGTGTTCATTTTTCTCGTTTCCTTTTACTTGCAATCGTAAAAAACTTAGTAAACCCCTATAAACAAGGAGAAAACTTCAAATCCAAAAGTCAAATTGTTACTGGACGTACCAAAAAACTGTCTTTAGACCACTCGAATGGTGGCAAATTTGCTAAATGAAACGTTTTATCTATGGTACGCTCGCATACATAATGCTGGAATGAGTACTTACAGTGATTCTGCTCGGACACGGATTCCATTAGTGTGTAGTTTTGAAATTTGATTGTTTTCTAAATCTCTGAAACAAAACGTTTCAAATCAATTCTAAAACAGTAGTACTTTCTTAAAAGTATTTAACTCATTTGTATCTTAATGAAACGTTATAAACCATTTTGTATAAACATAGATTCATAATTTAACAATTTAAGATAAACAAGTACGTAGTTTTAACTGTTTATTTAAATGTTTTTTTTCTTTCGTTTAGTGTATGGATGTAACCAGTAACTGAAAGGTAGAGAGCGTTTTCTTACCGTATAATTTTATCAATGTCTGAAGAGAACATTGTTTCAAGGCTTTTGATAGGAATATTTTATTGTACAGTACTAATATTGTACACGATAAGAGCCGATGCAATAGTTTGGCCAGGTATATTCAATAAATGTTGTTCCGTTCTTCAAAGTGATGTTTGCTATTTGCAGTGGAAAAAGTCAAATAAACATGATTGACTAATTGGAACATGCGGTGCTATTAAAAACATTCACTGAAGCAGAGTTATATTATTACAAATATGAGTTATAGAGTCAACTATACATTGTATAAGATCTTTTATTGTCTATCAAGCAAAGCGGCTTATCGCATATTTTACAGATATGTATATAGTACTGTCTAGATACAGTATACTACTATCGCCAGATAGGACTTACATCATTACTAGAGGAGTGAGAGTCAACAGCAGACTTAAGTCTGGTACTGTCTTTAAACCTGTGTTGATGATCCTCCTGCAACAAATCATAATCATTATTATCATCGTATCATCACCACTAAAGATAATCATAGAAGATGCCACCAACCTCTATAAAAACATTACCATCATCATCGTCATCGTCATCGTTATTGCCATCATCATGTAAATAGAGCAGGGTCTTTGATATTATTAGGTGTGTGACAAACGTTGAAAGTTTGGCAGAACTTCAAATTTTGCGGTCATGAATTACCGTGTTTCTTCTCACTTCATAGAGAGACCACCTCAAGAATAGCATACTAAAATGTTACAAGGGATCACTAGAACAAACAATTCCTTTGAAAGCAACTTAATAGATTTGCTTAATATATTTAAACAGTTTTTAGGTTTCAGAGTATTGAAACGTACTTAAAAACAATGACCAAGAATAGGAGTAAGAGCGCTATCCTCCGCGATTTTATTAATTTATTGATTTTAATCATTCCAATTTTTTTATTTAAAAATGTATTTACCATCTCGGAGTGAACAAACAACTACCCTAGTAGTAAACGTACTTGGTGGTTGGTTCTACTGCCAACATATAGCTTTCTTTTTTTCTCTTATGGCCTCCACTAATACTATGAAAAACACACTCATTTTCATTTAGGCATATACAAATAGTTTTTTTACTTTTTCTATCAGAAATTACTTACAATATCTTTAGACGAGGTAGAGAAACGTCAAACACCGATGGGGCGATATGGACCAGTGACGGAGCATTGTATATGTAGCTAGAAACATGCAACAATTTACAAACCATTAAAACCATTACAATTCAGGAAAATCAGTAAATTAATTGTTATCGAATTGGCATCAAGTTCACAAATCCATAGACTAAATGTATAAATCCCCACTTAAATTGAAGATTAAAAATGTATTCAAGAATATATTACTAAACGTTTGGCTTCAGGTCCCTTTGATATTCGCCTAATTTGAGACACAACAATTTTTGAAGCCTAATTAAACCATCGTGTCTATTTTTCTTTAACAGATACGAATTTAAAAGTTATTCAAACAAGTCTCCACTCAATGAATATATATATAATAATCTTACAAGTGGTTTATTTTTATTACAGTGAAATAATGAGGAGTAGAGTTGAAATTATTGTTATTATTATACTACTCACATTGTGCGCAGCCTGGTCATATTTGTGAACAGTCCTGGTTCAAAGTATTGAAAGTGTTTCACATTCATTACTGTGCTGAAAAAGACATTAACTGTATCAATCGGAATAATTGATTTAGCTAACCTGAATGCAACAGTAGCAGCATATATGTTATATAGTCTACATAACTGGGCTATCTACAACCAACGGTTAGTCCAGGTAATCTGCACTACTCTACCATTAGATGTACAGTATTCTCTAGAATAATGACATATAGTAGTTTTAAAACAACACTTGGAGTCCTAGGTTCTATAAACAGTTGAAATTATCGTTCTAATTAACCTATTTGAATCTTACTAAAACATATATCGCAAAATGTACAAAAAATCATAATTGGTGAGTGATATACTACATCACACATGTGACGTTAATGACATCTGCTCTTCCTTTCCACCACACACGAGCGCTTTACTGTCACCAGTTACATTTGACAAACAGTTAAGTGGTCCAGAGGCACTTTGTTTACTTTATTCCTGACTTGGGATTTACCTAGTTTAGTTATTTGTAAAGAAGAAAGAAGAATGAAATAAATTAGTTGCAGATACCTTCAACAGTTTTACGCCACAATGACCTTTTACGGGCATTAATAATTGAATTTTAAGCGAAAATGCATAATTGTAACCAATACCTATTAGGAAGTAGAACCAACTTCCTTATAATATGTTGCCCTTTTATTATAATATCAACTGGCTTTTTTATAATATTTACTAACTTTAAAACATTTTGTATATCAAATAACAACAGTACTGTTTTTTATTCCAGAGCCATCCTAAAGCCTTTGAAGCATTAAACTATTCGAAATTGTTCAAGAAAAATATAAATGAATTCAAAAAAATTATCAGGTGTGTATAATAAACCTTAATAATGAAATTACTACGGATTTTCATGCTCAGTATATAAATGTATTGTTGTATACTATGGCATAATGGCAAAAATGTAGGAAAAAGCATTAACCTAAAATATTTATTATTTCATAATAGGCCTACCAGAATTTTAAACAATCTCTACTCAACTCTAACCAAATATTGTTGTAAAATATCTTATGTAGGCCTACTATTTCTTTACTTATTTTATCGCTGTATAAACGAAACTACCATAAATGTTTATAAAGGGCTTTTTTAAACCACTTAAGATAAAGTTGAATATTTTAGATGTATAAAAATAATATGAGTCAGTATCGGTTTTAACAAATATTTTCATTAATTAAGCTCTGGTTGATTTTCGGAAGTATTTAAAGAATACGAAGTAGAGACGATGAGAAACACTTTTTTTTATATTATGAAGAATTGTGACTATTTTCAATAAATATATTCACTAAGACTTTATTTAAAACCATTCATTCATTTCAGGACTTATTTCACCACCAAGTAGATTAATTATTATGAGCTATTTAAAATATGTTATGAAACCATTTCATAGATAAACTTAATCAATTATTTTTCAACATTTCTATACAGTGGACTAGTGGACGTCATTAATGAATTTCTTCACAATGGACCTTGCATGAAGTTGAAAATGGTACTGTATGGCTAAATGTACTCCTCGTAGTAAGCAACTCTCTGCTTCGCACATTGTTTTACTATAACTTTGGTAAGAGTTGACACATATTGCAACCGAAGCGAGAAACTATGCATTCCTTTACCCGAACAAATTCAAGGAAATATGTGTATTAAATACTTTGATGAAAATATTCTGCAGCATTGTCTACGTCTGTTAAATAACCGCAAACTGTATGTTATATTGCATTATCTAAAACTGTTCATCATGATAATTCCCGTTATTATTAGCCGTTTCCAATGCAATGCCGTTTTTTAAACGCAACCAATAGTTCCATAGTTTAATTGATTTGGTTAGAGAAACAATAAATCCTTTACTGTAAATGGATTATTACAGTATTTGCTCTGTACTAAATGCTACCCTTAATGTAATTCCTTTTGGTTGGAAGCCAAATAACTATTTTGGAAAATTTAAACAAATTTGAGAAAAAGTATAGAATTGTTGAAATTGTAATACCTGGCAAACCAATAAAATAAACAAAGCGGGGCCGCAATAATCAACAGATTGTTTGTACGAGAGCCTCATAACTTTCCGCAATGTCAATTTGTTTTGCTCGAACTTGTTTCCGCGTATAAAAATTTATTAAGATTTATGTTGTACATTTCTTCTAAAACGTTGTGGAAATACAATAGCATTTCGTCATCATACCATTGTGCATCTATTTATGAGAAAAGTCATTATATACTTTACATAATAAAACATTATCTTGAGGAGCTAGTATGTAAATAAATGAGTTAATCACTACTCATATATTCTGTGTTATCCCAACATGTTAATAATTTTTAATATTAGTTAACATTCATATTCCCTTCGCTCACACTATTACCCAGGTAAGCCGTTTAAACATTAATTTCAGTTTGACGGCAAATAATATATTTTCAACAAGCAACATACATCACGTATAATATTGCATATTGCAAGTTTAGGTGGAGGCGTATTAATATTGTGCCATGCAGTATCATCATATTTCCACGAACACGGGCGAGTAATATCTATCTGCGGTACACCTAAGCATGTGTGCCACTAGCATATAAAGCCATGAGAGAGAAATAGTAAAACCACGTCTTATTATCGGCTAAATGGTTCATAAAACCTCAACAGTTTAAGCTATGATTAAATTTTTTCAAATGTAAAAATATACATACTTACAACTCTCGAAGTGTTCTATATGGTTGCAAGGTATGTGCCTGAATCGCTACTATGCCAGCGTCCGTTATTGTCCTGGAATGGTCATTTAATTGTCATTAAATTGGAATTGTCATTAAACTGTCTAAAACATAATGTAAACCACTCACCTCACTTACTTTTCATAAAATACAGTATCAACTCTTAAAAAGATTTAGATTTTATAGAATATGGTTTGAGTGAATAGTATTATTTAAGTATCTAATGAATGTATTGAATACGTAAGTATATACATGTATTAGTAAGAAAAGCAAAAACAAGCACTTTTTGTCATATTTATTTTAATTATAATCAATCCAAATGTGATTTGCAATTCTACTAATCTTTTTACTAAATTCTTCTTATAATTCTATGACTTGTTTCAGTGTAAACCACTAATTCTACCTTCAGTGGAATAGTAAATTAATATACAGGGTGAACATAAAAGAAGTGAACAACTTTGAACATCAATTTATCGAAAACTACGGATCTGACATCGCTGCGGTTGGTACCAGTGAGTCGGAAAACACCTTAAGTTTTGTCTCAAAACAGTTGATTGCTGTCAACAATACAAACATGTGACAAAAGATGTTATTTATTGATTTGTTTAAAAATGGTCAAACTCTCTCAGAAAAGTCTTTTTGTGTGTTAGATTTAGAGAGAACTTAGTCTGCCACCCGTGTCCAATTGTGACTTTTTTGTGGGGAATGTAAAAGACAAAGTTTTTGTTCCTCCTTTGCCATTGAACCTTATGGAGCTCCGAAATCGCATTACTACTGCAGTACAAAGTGTCAATGAAACCATTCTTGAAAAAGTTTGGGCAGAATTTAGTTTTAGAATAGATGTGTGTAAAATAAGGCGAGGATCTCATACTGAGCACTTGTAATATATGGGAAAACTTGAGAATCTTAGCTTTCTAATGGCGTATTTCACATTCTCCTAGGTGGTATAACTTTCCTGTAGTCTTTTATTAAAGTTGTTCACTTCTTTTGTGTTCACCCTGTATTTACAATTCCACTGCAGTGACAGTTTTTAAGGGGATGTTCTAGGATTCTTTAAAATGTTTACAATATTGATCAAAATATATTCCAAATAGAGACGCATAACTTCAAAATAATTAGTCCTACTAATTTTATTTAAATCTTAATCATGCTATTCCATACTTACAATTTCCTGAGAGGCTGGGAGAGGTTGGTTGGGATTTCCGTAAACAAGTCTCCGTAACAGCGACACTCCGGGGCTAGGTCAAGGTCCGGGCCACTCCAGCAGAAGCAGGAGCTGGTCATGGCTAGATGCTGGGCCAGGTCTGGAGGGCTGGAAACGTTCCAACAAGACACCAGTGACGCCACCACCAGCAGCCTATCAACATCAGAATGTTTAGTATACCAGTCTCTATAACAGTGACACTCCGGGGCTAGGTAAAGGTCCGGGCCACTCCAGCAGAAACAGGAGCAGGTCATGGCTAGATGCTGGGCCAGGTCTGGTGGGCTGGAAACGTTCCAACAAGACACCAGTGACGCCACCACCAGCAGCCTATCAACATCAGAATGTTTAGTATACCAGTCTCTGTAACAGTGACAATCCGGGGCTAGGTAAAGGTCCGGGCCACTCCAGCAGAAACAGGAGCAGGTCATGGCTAGATGCTGGGCCAGGTCTGGAGGGCTGGAAACGGAAACGTTCCAACAAGACACCAGTGACGCCACCACCAGCAGCCTATCAACATCAGAATGTTTAGTATACCAGTCTCTGTAACAGCGACAATCCGGGGCTAGGTAAAGGTCCGGGCCACTCCAGCAGAAACAGGAGCTGGTCATGGCTAGATGCCGGGCCAGGTCTGGAGGGCTGGACACGTTCCAACAAGACACCAGTGACGCCACCACCAGCAGCCTATCAACAGTTCAGTTTATGTTCAGTTTACTGTGATAACTTATTACTGGGTTACTTCTTTGACAATAAAAAATTGAGTAAATCTCAGAACATTTTTCAATGGATTATTGTTTCTGATTTCAAAGAGGTATTTCACTTTCTTCTTATAAAATTTAGCAAATGATCTTTAGTCTCCCGCTTCTTATTATGCGGTACCTAAATTTTATTTGGAAACGAATCTTGATGTATGGTGTTGATACAATAGAGCTTGTGAGATAAACAAGTAAAATTTAACTGACAATACCGAACACTCGAGATGTAAAAGATAATCCATTTTGTTTCGAAATCATGCGGTAGAACTATTTACTATTATGTTTTACGTCAACCTTACTCTTTCCATTGGTATATATTATTGATAAATATTAATGGGACATAACTGTAGTAATGTGCATATGTAGTGTAAAAGTAAAAATATAACGATTAATAAAATAAGATGGGCTTTTTAAGAATTCTCTTTAACATCACAAAGTTGTTGTTTCGGACTAAGTTTTTATATTTCACGCAAGTAGCAGACGTGGGGAACATGCTCAAACAAATGGAGAAGAGCAAAACAGGAAAGTAACTTTTCACCTAGAACTTCTCTACCCTCTTTCCTTTTCCAAGTAATTGTGTTCCTTGTGGTCTTGCACCTTTGACTTGTATCGTAAACTTTTTTTGTGATTATATCAGACTTGTCTCGTATTTAAACCAACATTCACTATATCAGTGAACAACCAATACTCGTAATACCCAATATCACTTAGTATTTTATGTTTTGTGTAGCCTGAAGTTAATGCTTACCGTGCGAAGTATATTTCCAGTTCTTTCAGACTTTATATTAATAACGACTTCATTGTAGATGTTAGCCTCCGGATTCTCAAATAATATTAAAATACCCCCGCCGCAGCAAACCTGCCGACTAAGCGAATTTCCATTTTTTGTCCATTTGTATTGATTTTCAATTAAATATATTTAAAACACATTAGGTTTAACAAGTACCTAGGTTTGCTGCTACAAGGAAACTTTTAAGGTGGAGTGGAGTTTTTAGTAACATAATAATAGCATAGTAGACAATAAATAAATTTGAAAAGTTTTATCAAAATATATACATAAACAACATTTTACAACATTCTACAACATTTTACGATGTTCTCCATAAGAATAACACTTGAATTTTAAATTTAAAATTTTTTGAATTCTCCCCGTTACCAATAACCATACAAAAATACTTTGATATACTAAATTATTTGTTTTTTAAGCTCTTTAAAAAGGTCTAGAGGGGAATTGGGAAAATTTGTGTTTTGAGGGTCAAAAATTAGAAAAACCATTTTTTACCCCATAAAATCCCCCGTAAAACCCCCTTCCCATGGTCCGTTCATGCTGGTTCGCGAACTCATTTAAGTTTATCCCGCCTTACACTAAACTCGTTTGGCTTTAAAGGTTTAAACCAAATTTCATCAAAATCGGACAAGTTATCGCGTTCACGGACGAATATATATACATATATAAAAATTTGAATGGTGTTTTTGGCCTCTGGATATATAAAAATGAAAAAGTAAATTGGTCCCGGGCCGAGGTCTTACCGTGCCACCTACGGTAATACAGTAGCTACTTCCCTATAGGGAAATTCGCAAAAAAAGTTTAAATACATAGGTTTAAGCAATCCATTCAATTGCAGTTACAACTAGTTTCGGCTCCAATTTGGGCCCATCATCAGGTGGTACAAAGCTATATCAGGCGGTACTTCCTTCTTCATAATATGAAGAAATGAAACGTCCTTCTACCGGCCTCAAGTAGGAGCCGGAACTTGTTGCAACTGCAATTGAATGGATTGCTTAATAACAGGTATTACCTTATTAATAATAAGATAATACCTTATTATTATTATCTACGTTGGTTTCCGGCCTAAAAAGAGGCTTTGGTATATTCATTTATATATTCATTACAATAGTGCTAAAACATGTCCTTTATGATAGAGACTTTTAGTAGCCCACTTTCACTTCTTCCATTTTTTATTTTAACAAGGAAATATAGCGGTGCTTATAATCCAGTTAAATGAGTTTTTCAGCAATAATTCTTTAAATGCATAAGGGTAAAAGAAGTTTCAGAATATTGTAAGAATTGTTTGAGGGTATAACTATACTATTTTAGCCATCTAGCACATAACACTGTTGTTAAATATTTATATTGAAAGTATTGTTTTCAACTGACTCACACGGAATTATTTATACATCGTAAAGATTTCAACTTGAAAAACAATTAGGCCTATCCATCTAATCGAGCCATTATCGAATTATCCTAAAATATATGCTGTTGGGCTTTAAACTTTGTGACTTAAACTAAGTTTGGATCGATGCCAAGTTTATTAATCACATTTTGAAGTTTTAGACATCATGCAGCTTACAAGCTTAAATGCAGTATTGGTAGTAAAATAAAGCTACTGAAATGAGAGTATTACCGTAAAACTAACCCTGTATGTTGGTAAAAAAATATTATCAGGAAGGTTAGGCATCATCTACTGCAAGTAAATATAAAATGGCAATATGGAATCTTTTCACACTACTTAAAAACCCAATTTATCCTTCATATTTTTAAAGTGGTAAAATGTAATAGTAAATATTATAAAATATCGTATATCTTCATTAGTTTAATTATATTAACGTGTTAATAGCACATTACTAATCTGATGAAAAAACACCGGTAACAAAAAACATCAAAGTAGCTCAGTTTGTAAGGTGAAAATCTTGTTAGAAAATCACATTTTAATAACTCTAGAAAGATATGTCCTTTTGACTCAATTACCAGTTATAATGTAGGTTTGATTTTAGTTTACGTAAAAAAACCATCCTATGAAAAAGTTACTGTGTTACTTTTTACTGTATTATCTTTATAGTACACTGAGTACGTGTACCAATTAGGTACCACGTAGGCCTACTCAATGCTGTGTGTGTTGGTTTTGTAATTGCAAATAATATTAAAAGCAGGTCAAGTGAGAAGCTCAAAATCAGTAGATGATGTAATCGATAAGAATGATAAGGTTATCTTACTTGGTTGGTCGCCACCTGCCTGATGCCCTACTCGTGTCCATCACTGTTATACCATGTTCTGTTTCTTCAAAGCTTTGAATTAAATTTATGAAAAACATGAAGAAACGTTATTATTGAAATGCACGAAGAAGTATATGATAAGCTGAAAACGGTTCGGTTATAGCCTACTGATCCCTCAAACATCAACACTTTGTTTGGTTAAAAAAAGGATTTTTATAATTTCCTTGAATATTTTCAAAGCAAGTTAAATTTATTTACTAAAACTAAGCTTAGTGACAATAAGCCTTAGTTTCAGGTTCATTCATGAACACCTGAAGATTTAAAATGTCCAATGATACAATAAATTTTCTCTAAATTTGCTTATTTTTAGATAGTTTTTAAGAAGTGTTTAGTACACACAATCTTTGTAATTTTGGTAAAAAAACTTTCTGTGTTAAATGTTTATGGTATAGGCTTGAATGTATGCTTTTTATGTATCTAAGAAATAGTTATTCATATATATATATATATATATATATTAGTTCTTTATTCTTAGCCACTTCCTCCGTTCTAATCAACAGTTTTATAAATCTTAAGAAATTTGGTCATTAATGGGCACAAAACATTACATGTGCCCAAGAATCTATGTTAGCCACAAAATTGGAATATTATTAGTAACAATCTTTTGCAAAATCATCTCAAAGTTGATTCACTTGATGCCGCTTTCTTGGAAGTTGGCCAACTTTCATAACTCCAATTATGAGTAATTGGTGTATTTAATGATATAATATTTTAATAGGGTGAAATGGAGTATACGACATTCAATTATTATTTTTTTCAACCTAGTTAATATTTTTGCTGTTGGATTTAGATTACACCAAGAGCACAAATAATATTTTTGGAAGGGAGCGATCCAAACCTCTAGATTTCTATATGAAATAAATCTGTTGCTAGTAACCAGTGTTCTCAGTTTATCTTATTGCAAGTATTAAAAATACGGAGCGATAAGGAACATATCAAGAGACTTGACGATACACGCCACTTTAGCACGCACTCCATGATGTGTTTCTGAGTGTTGGGAGGCTCCGTGATATAAAGTATTTTTTCCAGTATTTAATCACTCTCTATGAATAATTCAACAGAGCAAACATTTCTCTCGCGCAATCGCAGGACCTGATAGTAAAATAATTACACCCAACAATTTCCTAAAGCCAGTAGTTTTAAGTTATTTGTGTTTATACATTCACGTGTCTTACTCAATCATGTGTATGTGTAACATTGCATTTTTATAAATACTGATTAATGGATTTATTTAATGCTTAAATTAAGCGCAAATCCTGCCGACAATATTTTCCAGTTCAAAGATTTTGACATTCCCATCATTTATTTACATTCTTGAATCTTTAACATTTGTAAAACAGGAATTTTCTAAATTTGACCTTTCTGTAAAAAACCAATACACATTGCGCAATTCACACACATTACCTATTCCTAAACATTCAACAACTTTCTTCAACAAACACTTACTGTACAATGGCATAACACTTTTTAATTCACTTCCACTTTTTCTTAAACTTGAACCAAACCTGTTAAAATTTAAAAGACAATTAAAATCTTTGTTGATTTAGTTTATCTGTTATAGCGTCCAAAGAAATTTCATCTAAACTCAGTTCCATGAATAGTGATGGAAATATTTATATATAAATCTACACCATTGTATACTGTATAAGATTGTATATTTTTAAATAGTTCTTAAGTATATGTATCCAACTTTTATTTCATTTTGGCTTAGCCAATACAACTTGTATATTGTTAATTCTGGCTGAATAAATTATTTGATTTGATTTGAAAAGCAATATTTTAAAACTTGGCTAGTCCTCTATGTAGTTCATATATCCTATGTTTTCAATTGCTATTGAAGTTCATTATCTAATTCTATGTGTATTATTAATCGGC